GCATAGGAATTCTTTTTCCTCCTGGGAGAGTTAGGCAGCAAGAGAACAATGAAAATGCCTAACGTTCTCTAAAGTTAAGCAGTTCAGTGAATCACTTTCTTGAATAAAAGTGATTATCTCATATTTAGACAAGAAAGTTATCTGCACCTGATTCAGAGAATGTATTAACTTCCATAAATTATATACATATTAAGGCCAAGGTTTTTCACTTTTTTTTTTTCTTCCCTCCAGACTGTAGAGCCCAAAGTTTCACCAGCTCATAGGAAGCACGACTTCAGCATGGTCAAAAGCCCACCCCCTAAATTCAGCCAACCTGCTCTGACCACTCCCCAGAGCTCACTGCAGTGGCTTTGTGTGTCTCCTTTCTCCCATTTGCAGTTGCATCCTCCCTCTCGTGATCTGACACAGAAGGAAAAGTTAACATTTCTGACAGAGGCACAAAGAGAAAGTATGTGAAACATTTCCATTTCCATCCGGAATACTGTTTCAGATGTAAATGGCCACATCATAATGTAAAAAGCAATTTTCCATCCACTTAATACATTTCCACTGAACAGAACCCTAAATGTTGCAAACCAAAAATAGAAGGAAGGAAGGAAGCAACCAGTCGGCATGTACTATGATTCATTCAGTGACAGCTGCATATCATTCAGAAATGAAAGAATACAAAAAACCAAGGTATGTAATTGAGAATCCTTCAAACATACTGACTGGAGACAATATATTTACATTAAAACTGCAGTAAATAATTAAATGCATTTGTGTTTATAGAACCGAAGACTCAGAAAGAAAACTAAAAGACATGTAGACTCCAATCTTTTTAGCTACAAATTTATTTTGGTCTAGAATCGATAATGTTTTTTAGCAATTAATATTTGAAAACAACATTTCATTAAGGTATTGTGAAGCTAAAGTTGTCCACTTAAACACCAACGATGACAAGGTCAGGGTTAAACTTGTTCTCCATGGCCTACACCTGCCTGTGTGTTTAGAGGTGGATTTCAACATCCTTCCAATACAATCTAGTTGTAGTGGACATATCAGATTTCAGAGAAAATTTGTATGATTTGGTACATCCAGAAACTAACAAAAACTCAATAAAAACCCACACTAAACCAACAGTGTTTTGATTTCTGAGATACTTTTCTTATTCTAACATGTCACATTAGAGCAGCAATTCTACTGCATTCATAAAATGCAATGTTAGGGACTGGTTTTAAGTAGTATATTTGGAGAAACAAGTTTATCAAATGCTAGTTTAGCCAGTGGGATTTTTACAAGAATTTTATGTAAACATTTCAGAAAAAGAAGAAAAAAACTGAGTGAACACTGACATGAAAAATAGTATTTCATCCTTGTGAAAAAGAAGAAGCTCCAAGATATTTTGTGTGATTATCCATTAATTTTAAAAATACAATTATTTAACAAAGCTGTGCATATCTAACATCTATCATAACCCAAAATCATAAAACAAAGGATGGACGATACAATCAATCCTGTTCCTGTATCATAGTGCTCTTTTAGGATTGAAACCAAGTCCAGTTTAAGACAAGAATATTGGTTTTCAAAATATTATCAGGCTGCACTGCTGTTCCTACAGCTTGTATGAAGGATGCTGTTGTAATTTTTATTAACCATAGGTAAGCCCCTCCTCCCCTGGAGACAAACGTCATTTTAGGGGACATAAATGATGCCTGAAAGTGGGATGTCCCACTAATACATATTCTTTTTAACATACACAAAACAAAATATAATAATAAACACAAATAAAGTCTAAGCAATATTACATAACAATAATTATCCAAGAAAGGCAGTATTTCTGCAAATACTGCCATGCAAAACTAAATAGATTTAAAAAAAAAAAAAGTCAGGCTCAAGAACAAAATGAGAAACACTGACTCTTGTGCTGTGAGAATACGCATCACTGGGTCAGCTCTTGCACTGCTCGGCAAGTTAGGCCTGGGCTGTACCCTTTGTACTGAAAGGATGTTTTAGACTCCACCATGTGGACAACAGGAGGTCTACTGCAGCTTTGGTAAAGTTTCTCTCTTACCAAGTTTTTTCTTTCTTTAGGTAAACTGAGTAGTTCTGTACATAGCAATTTCAAGAAAATCTCAACATGTTCTTAATAGGTGACAGAGCAACTTGCCATAAAATATAATAGTCTGACCCTGAAGTAGGATAAAGCTTAGAGAGCTTTTAAGAAAGGTTTAAAATATTTTGTCAAAGTTATTTCTCTTCTGAGTCTTGTTGCACGTAAACAAGCCCAAATCAGAGACCTCATGTTACTGGAAAAAATAATCCCCTGTGTTTAGTTCCTTGTAGTTACTGCAGCATGAACTGCTCAAAACAGATACAAAAGTGATAAAGCAAATTGCAAAATAGATTAGCAACCCCTCCCCAAAAACTACAACAACATCAGTCCGAAACTGCAAAGAAATTTCAGGGGCCAAACCTGAAAACCATGCAGAAACATGTTTCCAGCTACATTCCATTTTTGATTCTAAAAATACAGAGTACGAGCAAGCCAGTGCGAAGTAAAGTTAAGATGGGATTAACACTGTTCCACCTCAGTGAAGAACGTGGCATCTTAAAAAAGATATCAAGATAGCCCCTATAAAAAAATACCCATTTTCTCACATGAGAAAATTAAAGTGGGCTTTTAGCAAAATAAAAATAATGCAACAAGATAGTTACCAAAGTTACCTGTAAATCAACTGAAACCATTCAAATGCATTTTAAAAAGACCTTTATGTTTGAGCCTATACAAAGAAAAAGGCATCTGTAGGAAACATAGATGAAAAAATAAAACTTTTTCAAATATAAAAAGTGTTTTGCTTTCCAATAAGTTCAAGTAAATTAACATACAGCAATTGCATCTGACAGATGACAGATGCTGGGTTTCAGCTACCTAAAAGCCCCAAAATATACAGATACCATTAATGAAGCACGATAGTCTATGTACAGCCTTCCAGATAGGGCTGCTTGTGAACCTCTAAGTTGCATGAATATCATTCACAAGACAGCACCCTTTTCAATATTATCACAGAAAATGAAGTCAAAAATTAACTTATGAAGTAAAAAATGTTTAGACTATTACACATATTGGAATTACTAGAGAAGTAACAACAAAAATAAAAAAAAAGAGGGAAAATGCTTATGCAAGATACCTGACCAGCAGTTCCTTTCAGAGAATGGAAACCAGTATGTAGGGCTGTTCCTCCACTGGTGTACATGTACAGACACCGAGACAGGCGTTGGTGCAAGGCTGTACTTGCTGGGCTGGCAGACCCAGGGCCCACACTGCAGGAGGTGCCTCAGGACAGACAATTGCTTGGTTTCAAGCTGCCCCACCAGTTCCCAGTGCTCTCACAGCCTTGGCACTCTAAGGACCAGATCTGGAAAGGTGATCAATTCCACAGAGCAAACCAAAACACACTCCATGGGCACAGGAAGTCTGGAAGAGGAGTGGGGTGAGTTGAGATAAGCACAGGCAGGACCACTTGTCCTGCACCTTCACCCTGGTGGGACAGGCGCCCACTGCCCGTAGAGCGGAGGATGTGCTGGCCTAAAGAAGGGGCAGCTATTGCCTCCCAAGGGATGGGAGGGATGAGCAGAAAAGGAGGTGTGAGGATTGGGGTTTGCTGGGGGGCTTTGATCTATCTGTTCCCAACCACACGAGGGACATACAAACCACCCTGACCCCACAGGGCGTCCCCAGCTGTAGGGTGTATTACATTTCCTTTAGGTAGCATCCTCCTCTTTCCTGCTGCCCTTGTCTGTCCTGGTTGTTTATTCTCAGCTTTTCATCCTTATGTTTCCTTTAACATCTCTTTGTAGCAAGCACCCTCTTTCATCCAAACATCTAATTGATGAATATGTCAGGGATGTGTGCTTTCCCCCTCAGAATATGTGCCTGAGCTCCTCAGCTGCCTGGGTTAACTCTTTTACCTCTTGCTTTCATCTCATTCTGGGTGCAAGTGTTAGGAACTCTATTCAGAACAAATGCCAGTGTATTTCTGTTTTTAAAGACTCACACTGGTCATTCCTTAACTGTTTTTCAGCAAAACCAAGAATTCAGCCAGATTCATGTTTCACAACAGCTTCTCTGAAAGCCAGCACTTCCAGTGTGAGAATGCTTCCCTGGCAGCTCCGTACTGCTCAAACACAAAGTCATCAAAACCATTTTTCTGCCTGATGTGGGAGGGTGCCCGGCTTCCTAATGACAGAATGAGAGCCCTCAGTATGGCTTTGCACTACAGATGTATTTTGAGGTTTTGGGTTATAGCTATCTGTGTTCGTTCTTCCCATAGCACCTTCACTTTCTATTGCACTGTAGAAAATTCCACAGGACTAACCTAGAATGATCTGTTTCCTAATAATCAGAAGTGAAACTTTGGCCATGTCTCCTCCCTCCTTTTCACAACCAGCCTCTGTGTGATTAATTTTCTCCAGATTTTCTTTTGCTCAACTCTTTGAGCTCTACAGGATGTACACTTCATTCTATCTGGCTGACATTGTCTGGTCCTGTAGGATTTACTCATTGCCTGAAAACTGTCTGCAGTTGTGCTCTTGGTATTACACCTTTCAAGGAGGGTTTTGTACTTTTTTCCAAATCTTTCTTGCACTCAAGTGACTTTTTTGCGATTTACTAGGACCTGTGAATTTTACACTCTACAGTTTCCATGTTCTTCTCAAGCTTATTTCAGCACGTGATTATTGCAGGAGGAAGAGGAAAACTGTACCACTGCCAAGATCAGAGGCTTGTGAAGTTCCCATCTTGGACTGTTACCCACCACTCTCTGCTCTAAAGCAAGGGGTCACCTTTGCTGTAGGCAGACCTAATGGCAGAGTAGCTTGATTACAGGCAACAATGGTACACTTAGTCCATGTGATGGTCAGAATACATGCCAGTTCTCAGTTGGGAACATCAACACCAGCCCTTTGCAGTTTAATATCTGGACTGCATGTAGCCATGACTAAATGAACATACAAGCTGGGACAACATCCACTCAGGAGAGACACTTCCTGAGGTTACACCTGGCGATTTTTCAGTCAGTGTGAAGCTCAGCGTTGGATGGGATTAGGGAGATCATAAACACATCTTCGTCTCCTTCTTCAACATCTTGGACGTGACTGAAATGGTGGGCAGCATTTGTGATGCACAACAAAGACCCTTTTCAGAAGGTGTGCCAGAGCCTCCTCGAGGGACATGAATGTTTAGTCTGAAAAGAGTTCCCAGTGCTCCAGCTCAGGTCCTGCGTTCGCCACGAACAAGTACGCTTTGAAACTTCAGAAATGTATATTTTTGATTTAAAATTCACCACCAGCAAGAAAAATAAAGCCAGCTTACTTACTGGGGCATACATAATGTCTTAAGTAATAACAAAATATTTTTTGTTTGAAGAAAGAAGGTTGATGAAAATTATTTGTGCCTATTTTCTGTTCTAAGCAAAATAAATATGAGAAACAACACATGGAATGCACTCTGGAAAATATACATCATCATTTCTTAATTACGACACTGCAAAAAACATAGAAAAAAGCTCAATTTTGTGCCTTACAAATTATCTATATACCATGCAGTGTCGAGGAAAAAAAAATAAAAATGCACCAAATATTTAAAAAATTAAATTAACTTATTGGGAGGAGTGAAAAGTGATTATGAACCCAAGTGTCTGGGGGAGAGGGTTTTTATTTTCTGCTGGTGTGTGACCGAGTCTGTGATATGTGGTAATAGCAATCTGCAGGATTGCATCTCCCACTGGGTCCAGGTGGTCCCTGTGGTCCGGGTGAGCCTGGTGTTCCTGGTGGACCTGGCAGGCCGGCAGCTGGTAAAACAAAGTTAGAATTAGTAGAATCCTCACCAAAACATGCGTAGTGTCCCGCATTTTATCACTGACAGTCAGCTGCACACCAGCTCATCCACAAGAAGGCAGGTGGGTCTGACCTCATGCTATGACTCAGCTTGGGAGGAAAGGCAGGGGTGTAAAACCAATGTGAAAAATGAGAGAAAGGCCCATTAGTTCATAAATAATAATAACAGAAATAAATCTGGAGACTTGTACCTGCAGGGCCAGGTGGTCCAGGGTTACCGGGCAGTCCAATTCCAGGCTCGCCTCTTTCCCCTTTCTGTCCTCTATAACCTACACAGAATAAAGATATGAAAATAAGAGCACCCTCTTATTATAAACAGTGATCTTCTATATACCTTTGTAACAGGAAATTACCAACACAAATGTAATTGGAAAAGCACATGCTCACTTCTTTTTCAGAGAGTGGTATTTTTTCCTAAGACAGCTTTTAAGTTTCTAAGTTCCTTCTGGAAAATATGAGGATTTCTAGTAGTAACTGTTGCATCCTCTGCCAAAGGACTCTTGCTTTGTTCACTGGTTGGACTTTTCTCCAAGATTTTAAGTTACCTTTCTGAAGCTCCTCTAATAAAGACCCAAATGCATATTCTGCTCTGGTGTTCCCTGTTCAATCAAGTGACGTAAGGCAGCAATCCAAAGGCCATCTGCAGTCTGACCAGTCCTTCTCTCGTAGCCCACAAACTGAGCAAGACTTCACCCTCTCTGTTCTACACAAATCCTTACATTTGCACTTTTTAGACTGTAAACTGGCAGTTTTATGCTTAGACATTCCCCTGTATGTGAGACAAGACCCACTCCCCTGTCAGCATTACCTAGTAGCCCTCATGTGGAATGAGGCATCTTTAGAGCTTGTGCAGATTTCAGGTTCAAGGTCTACTTGATTAGTGTGATTACTAATTATACTTTGAATAACGTAGTTCATTTTCTTCACAGGCCATCGCTTTGTATTTATCTAAATAGCCTCCACCTTTTCAGGTGCTGCAACTCACGACCAATGCCTTTTTCTTTTTCCTTGAACTGCTTTTAAAGTGTCTTATTAGTTGGAAACACTCTGGCTGCTTCAGAGCAGAGGACTCGTGGCTATTGGTAAAGCATTTTCCTTAATATTTCAAGTTAAGAATCCATCTACTAATGTACCTTTTCTGTTCAGATCATGTAAATTATGCAGGTCAGGGGATGAAGGCATTTTTAAAGGAACAAGTGTGACACCTGCCACAACCCATTACTTTACAAGAGATTATAAGGAAACCATCTTCCTTCCAAGGAAACCTTCTTCCTTCCCCAGCACCTCAGACGTGTAAGGTGACAAATACTGAGGATTAATTTGAATTTCTGGTCACATTTGGAATGAAATTTGTCCTGCATAAGGGACCAGTATATTTCTAGCATTGTCTAAGCCATACAATAAAATTCCTCTTGTGAAGAAGTGTAACTCAGTTTGAATTCAAAGAGAAGAGTCACAGCTGACCAGCCAACATGGTGGTGTCAATCCACCTGATGTCTCATGAAGATTAACAGGCACTGGAAGGTGAATGGCAAAGGTTGTCTTGTCAATGTGCTGTGGTCTATGGCAACAGTGGTACCTTACAGGATATTCCAGAAAGAGACTACTGTGGGTACTGTGGGTACCAATTCAGGGTTGTTACAACAGACACAATGCAGTAGGAATGGTATTCAATTCAGAGCATTCAAGCTTTCTGTTACACAAAAGCTCATTATACACTTCAGTAGAGTCTATTATCTATTTCAACCATTCTAGGTTTCAAAACAGAGCATCAATCTTCCCTCAGCACTGCAATAAGGAAATTACAGGGAGGCAAAAACATTAGAAAATGCATGCAGGGTGACATACATAACATAACTAAAGGAAATCAACAGTTTAAAAGCTCACAGAAAAACAAACAATATTAATCATGCATTCTGGTCACTGAGTTGTGTTAAGCAGAATTGTACAAGGCATATATGCACACAAGCTATAATGACTGAGAAAAAGGAATATGCAGGTGCTTGTACTTAATTTTGAATACTGGTTTTGCTCTTTAATGACCACAGTAGTGTTTATAACTACATCAAGTTGTTTTGCTCTGAATCATCTTGTGCAATGCTGTTTTGGCTACTGTTTGAAAAGCTTAATCATAGAACCACAGGATTCACACAACCATTAAGTGTCCTATTTATTATATATTTCTCTATGTTTTTTAATTTACAGTCAATAGTTACAGTTCATTTCCCACTACACACAGAGTTAAACTGTAATTTTACAAAGCAGTGCTGCCACTAATAAGTTGCTTTTCTGTTTCTTTAGTTATGGAGAAGAGAGAGAAATCACAGATAACATATACCACATTTACAATTTCCATGATAACCGTTACTGTAGGTCTCTGACACACCGTAACTGAAAGGCACTAAGATAGACTGAATGATTCTGTAAACATCACTGGAATTCAAGACAATAAGGAAAAAAACACAAAATCACTATTGGACAAAGATCAGCCTGCCAATACAAATACATGATCCAGGGTAGTGTAAACCATTACTGGCTGTATCCAAATACATATGCAAAGGTGTAATTTGTACACAGTGGCAGGAAAGTTCTGCTGACACTGAAGTTTGATACAAAAATTTCCAGATATCTTTTCTGACAGTAAGGATTTATTTAATGGGATGCCAGTGTATTAGTAAACAGACCTATATGTAAACAATCTGAACAATGTAATGTGTAATTTTGGCAGAAAAATCTTTGATTTTAATGAGGTATATTTTGCTTATAAGCAGGACCATGATTGCACTTTTATCACCTTCTTTCTGAGCTTAAAGTGGCAAATTCATACACAGCCAAAGGAAAGTATTACCATACACATAAATTAGATTTTGATTTATTGTTTTTAATGTAAAGGCACATATAAGATGCTATCTTACTGGTGGAATTACAATTCCAGTAAGAGGCACCTGCTTAATCCAAAAGGCAACTGTTTTAGCAAAGCCTTTCACTCAGGTTCCAGAAGTTTTGTTGAGATTTCTGCAACTCAAAAGTTTTGTTATTATAAACACATACCCAACCATGGGTAGTATGCTAACCACTTGGTAGCAATATGTACCAGGTAGGTGTTCAAATGGATAAAGTTCTGCTCATAGGTGAGTAGTGACAGCTGACATACAGCTCTCCACTTGATGCTTCCCACAGACATCATAGTCAGAAGTGTCACTACCGCAACACCCTCAGCTCCACACGGAAATGACCCAAGTTCATGTCTATGAACTTGGAGGTAAAAGGTATTTAAACTGCTCCAGAAGGTATTCCACCTCTATCACAGAGACCCTCTTCCATCAGCATGGACAACACAGCATTTGAAAGTAGCATGTCAAGTACTTATCTAGAGAAATTTGACATTCTTTAATACAAATACGAGGCAAACAGATTACCATATCAGGGAACAATGAGACCAAAGTACCCACTGTGTTTTACCATGCAAATACTCTGTGTTCTTAAAAAGAAAAGACTGCAAAGCAACAGAGAGGGTGCTAAGAGCATCCTCTCATCCAGCCTCCAGTATATATTCCGAATTCCTTCTGTGTGTTACAGTCCTGGGGTTCAAATCAAAGTAAAACAGGTTTACTTCAACTTCCGCAGCACAGAACATTTTACAAGATGGTAACTGTTGAAACCAGCACAGCTATTTCAGAATAGTGACTTTGTCTGAACAACATCCACTACAATGGGTTCCTGATGCCAGCCAAGGTTTCTACACGCTTCCACTCTACAAATTATAAATTGTAAGAGACATAAATTTTACAATAGAGATTGCCAATGAAGATAAGGAGCTTTCACTATTCATTGCATGGTATTTTTATTTTCTGAACTGTGATGCTTGATTCCTTGAGGCTACCATGAGTTATGAGGACCTATAACAAACTAATTTCCTTAATTTGATAGAAAGAGTGAATTTTAACTGAGACGAAATCTTTTCTCTAGTGAGAAAAAAATCAATAGTCATAGTAACATAAAGGATATCTAGATTGCAGAATTATCCCAAGGTGCATTTCATCTAATGGACCAAAAGTGACTTACTATTACAGTTTTAAAAATCCAATTAAGTCACTGAAGTCAATTGAGCTAGATCCTCTAACACATGACAAGCTGACTGTTTGCAAATGTATGACATTGCTAGAGCTTGTCTGTAAAGTCTTGAAATAAACTTTCTAATTCTCTATGAGATATTGACATATTTTAAAACTCATATAGAGTCAAATTCCTCTGTTCCCCCTTAAACAAATGCTGTACATTTCACCAGTAACGCTGCCTCAGGGTATCAGCTTGCTGATGCATATGCCATAGGTTATTTTTTAAAATGAAGAAATATATATAAGTATAAAAATCTTCCAGTCATTATGTGAATACCATTTATGTGTTTCATAATTGAAGTTGCAATTCTTCATTATATTTTGCTTGCATGCTATATTTTTACTGAGACCATCCTATAAATTATTTGTACCTGAACCATTGGGAAGTATCTGAGGAACACTATGAACAACCTTGCTGAAGGCCAGGAGGTAAGAATTCTGGACTTCTTTAGAAGGGGATGACTCTATGCACAGGAGTCTAGCTATTCTTTCAATACAATTTTTGAAAACCATGCCTACATTTCTAAAAGTTAGTACCTATGTTTTCTCCTTCTGGGACTAACCCCCAATATATTGATTTGCTGTGCAGAAGGAGGTTCTGGTGTAAATCCAGCCAAGTCATTCCCGACAATTTCCCTGGGAAACTGGTAGGACACTCAGGGTGTATAGAGGGGCCCCTATGAATCCATAAGTAAATTTAAACACCTCCTTGGACACACAGTGTCTGATACACCTGCCTTTCCTGCTGGCTGGCTCTAGTAGGCTCTCTGCTCAGCATGCAGCATCACAAACAGGACAGGTCCTGTTAATTGCTCACTGGAAGCATCTACTTCTTCACACTGTCTGCTGGGACAAGTGACTCACTCTGTCAGCCCAGACACATATTACTGCAGACAACAAATCTCTGGAGTTGGCAATCTGGCTTACACCCAAGAGAGAAATATAATAAGGAGTATCTGTCAGTCAATACCAAATGTGTATTAGGACTTGTGCACACAACATGCTACCTTGATGGTCTCAGCCACATATGCACATAATGTGTTTCTCCAAGAAGTCTTGCTTGCTATGTATTTTATGGCTGAAAACAAGCTGGAATATAGAAGGATAATTTTCAATCTGCTCAGAGGTTTGAATTTCTTTTTACTCTTGGTACAAAGCAATACCATGCACAGGCACAACTGAATAAGGCATGAAGGGTATTTGCAAGTGTGCTTCTCTTACAGGACTATTTCTTACTCAGAGAGTAAAAAAGGTAAGATAAACATTTTGTTTTCTTTCCTTGCAAGTGTATTTTCATATATCTTGAAGTATCAGAGAATTAAATGCTTCTCACTTAGCTTACCTTTTACAAGCCAAAAAAGAGTATTGAGCATAACAGTAAAACAAATTGAAATCCTGTGTATACAGGGCACTACTTTTACTGAAGCATAAGGCATGAAAAAGCTGCTTTTTTTTTCTTCTTTTTTTACTCCCCATCCCCCCCCCCAAAAAAAAACCATAGCTGTCATCTTTTACTCTTTATGCTGACTAGCTGGAAAGGAAATCTAGTACAATGTTTCACTTCCCAGAAGCATCTGAGACTATTCACCACATACATCATCATTGAACAATCTGGCACTGACAGTGAAATGGATTATTTATGGCAATCTGAATATTTGGGTAACGATGAAGTCAGTGTTGTAAGATTCTAAGCCTTTTATTGGTTTCCTTGATCCTTTATTCTTGTTCTTCTCATTCTGATCTCATGACATTTTTCAAGCTTCTGTCAGGGGTTTGTGCTTATCAATGTTAGTAAGTCTTTGTTCTTCTGATAGCTTTAGGATCCACACATCTTCAGTTTTGCACTCATTTTCTTCATTCCAGTCTGACTTGGTCTGACTTCAGAGCAGACCAAACTAACAAAAGATAATAAAGAACTACCTACAGATAAACTGCAAATTACATATAACACACGCAAAAATACTATTCATCGATAAATTCTTTTTTTTTCCTTTTAGCTTGTTGTCCACTGCCTTTTAATCTCTGAAAGGCTGACTCTACAATAGAGCACAACTACAATGAAAATGGATCCCTCAAAGCCAATTTTGCAGTAAAAGACAGTTCAGTGAAATGGAAGTCCTATACTATCCCAATGCATTGTGATGCACAAATTACCCTTTGGGGGATAGCAAAAAGCTGATTACTCTGAATTTTTTTGTGAAAATAGATTTATTCATGGTAAGAAGAACTCAGGTGGTAATACTTCAGTTTTACTTCTAAAAGAGTATTCGCTTCTAACTAAAAGAGTTTTTCCTCCCCTGTGTTGTCTCAGGATCAAAGCTGAGAGCACTCAGACCGAAGATCAAATTTTCTTTCATAAATAAGATTGTCTGTCAATATGGAGCAGGATCTAAACAGTTAGAGTGCTGGCATAGTTTTTCTTCCTTATTATAATATTTTGGAGGAAAAAATAAGTGCTACAGTAGTTCCATCAGCTTTAGATATCTGTCAATAATTAACTTTATCACTTATTAGAATAAAATGCACTGATTAGGAGTTTTTAATCAGTAAAATCCACACATTTACTATGGGTTAATATTTAGATCTAGTCTGGAAAAACGTAAGTACATAAGTTTAAAAGTTAATCATTAGGAAGCTAGATAGGTAGTCCTGGCTTACTTAATCATTAGCAAGTGTACATGGATTTCTAGATAGAATTTATGGGAACATTTTTTGGAATTCCTACCTTGAATTCCACGTTCTCCTGGTGGCCCTGGCAAACCATCATTTCCTGGTGGCCCTGGTGACCCATCTTTTCCTGGGGGCCCTGGTTTACTATGAGCTTGGGAGGCAAGCATTGCAGCAGGCAGCTTCAGCTGGGATACAAATTGAGCCATCCTTTCTTCATTAATAAAAGACACAAGGAAAAGTGAGTAAGAAATCTGCTAGCAAATGACAGGTAAATCCCAGAGCACCAGCTAAATTTTCTGGAAGTAAGGTGTTCAGTCCTCCTTAACGTCAAGGTACTGAATACTCCAATACGCACTGAGACCTTCAGTTCCAACTCAGACTCATGTCTGAGTCTTTACCCTTTGAAATAATCAGAATGAATTTGTATTAAAGTTTCTATTACTAATCTCTATTACTAATGTATTTCAACATTTTAAATGACTTCTGACTCCTGTTCATGGAGGTACTTAAAATACATAAACACAGAATAATTATTACTTAGCACACCTATGAAGAGCTACCTCATATGTTCATAACTCATATTAAGTTGCAAAGCAGAGGTTAAATACCAAGAAAGGTTCTTGGAATGTACTGAAACCCTGAAAACAGTTGTGAAAAAACCTGAAAGTTCTCAGCAAAGATTATTAATTGCAAATATTTCAGGATGAACTGTTCACGCTGGTGGAATAAAGTGCACTTGGTAACATTTTAGTGTTCATTAGAGACAGAAAAATAGGTATTAATCTTGACTCTGTCTCTTTTAAAACAACAGATTAAAAACCTAAACATTATATAACATAGTATGTATTTTCTGTGGTGGAGTTTTAAGATTCAAGAAAAAAATCAGAATAGAGTGGACATCAAACAAAAAAGAAGCAAGGTGACAGAAAGCAGGCAAAGTGAAACTATGTCAAAAAATGGAAGATCTGCGGGAACACTACTGAGGTGTAGAAAATGCAATGGCTACAAAGACAAAACTCCATTATTCCCTGTAGGCAGGGCACCTTCTTTCTGTGAATAGACTAAATACTATTTAAATGGGAGAAGGAGGTGACTTCAGCCAACAAACTGCTCTTGAAATACATAGTAAGTTGAACTCCTGAGGGATAGCAATCTGGGGAAGGGTGAAAATACACAAAATGATAGCCTTGTTATAAAGTGAAAAACTACCTGAACAGGTTAAAAAGCCCCAAGCTTTATATTATTTCTTTTATCCCTAAAAGATAAAATGGGTTTTATCCACAAATATTAATGACAAAATAGAGAAGTTGAAGACATAAGAAATGCGTTTTGCAATGGAAGAGAAGCTACTGTTAAGGGGTGTTCAAGCAGAATCTTGTTTCAGACACCTACCTGAGTCACAGCTTTGCAACCATGACTAAGGAAATGCTGGGGAAGAAAAATATTTCCTTTTCAGAGTATGGACTCAGACATCTAAGAAATCTTACATAATACAAAGGCCGTGGATGAATCTGGTATTAGCCTGAAAGTGAGCCAGAAGATGTTGATCTTGCAAGGGAGCTGTGGAACTCAGCAGGGATATTTGCTGAGCAAACTGCACAGCAGTTTAGACCAGGATGACTGAAAGCTATCAAGCCTTCCTCTCATTTAAATAGTCACTCACTAAGAGGGCAAAAAAATTAGATATTTCTATTGTCTCTGCTTTAGTAACTCTTCAATGTCTTAATGATATGTTGTAGATATATATGTATCTGCATATATTAACTACAGCGATACATACCTATGCTTGGTATTATGATTTGGAGCAGACTACCTTTTAATGCTAATCTTTTACATAAGGAAATACTCTGGTTAACAGATACTATAGCTTCTAATTGTTTAAACAGAATTATGTAGACTTGTTCAACATCGCTACAGCAACAAGGCAGCAGCTTAAGATAGATGACATCTAAAGAAATTTCGAGCAGAATTTAAGATTTATATTTAGGTGTATAATACTTCATTTTCTCACCTTCAAAAACCTTAAGAACCTCTTGTTTGATATATTTTTTTATTTCTTCAAGTGAAACTGCATCAGCCTGATGAGGAAAAAGAAAGGTGATATGCATCAAAAAGAACATACAGAGTGAACTTTATGATGCTACAAAAATAAAAAATGCTGAAATTAGCATTAAAAATATAAACCTTTCATCAACAAATAAGTGTTTTAATATATTTGTGTTATTTACTTAACTGCAAAGGCCACTTTACTGCAAATACATTATAATATTATAAAGATACTAATGCCATGAAGTGGAAGAGGCACACCCAGCTGTCAAGATGACCAGCATGTTACGTGTATGGAAATTAACCTGCACAAGACAGTAAGGCTGTCCAGTGACACGACTATGCTTCACTTGCCTTTTGCATAGCACCTGTCAACTTCTCACCCCCTCTAGGGACTAACTGCTTTGATGCACAGCCAACAAGAACAGAACCACAGCACCAATAACATCACTGGAAAAGTTTTTTAGCTTTACTTTACCTAATTGAGGTTAAAAAGTATCCATAACATGGATGTGTGCCTATGTGCACATGGAGACAAACTAAGATATCTGCAACTGACAAGCAGCATTCCACTGTCTTTTTAAATGCTGATTTCCCTTCAACTGAGAATAAATTTTGTCTGCCTCCTTTTTTTTCCCGTTTGCAAAGACTTACACTCTAGCTCTTAAGCTTACAGAAAATGTGAAAATTAACTGTATTGAGTAGTCATATTGATATGAAGGAACTAAACAAGTAAATAATTAAAGTTCACTCATAGCAGACATTTTAAAATAATTATTAAAAAGAACTGCCAGATCATCTGGATATATTTTTCCACCCCTTACCTGAAGACTGAAATTATCTGAGAGAAAGCCTCAGTTTTTCTAAGACTGTGGTATTGCTCAGTTAAATTTGCACTGCTCAGCACATGCTACCTTCACGTTGCATGAACTCCCAAGCAACCAAAGTAAACTTCTATTTACTTACTGGAAACCCTGGGGGTCCTGGTGAACCTGGGGGACCTTGATGACCTGGTGATCCTGGATAGCCTCTGTCTCCCGGTGGGCCAACAGGACCCACATCCCCCTTTTCTCCTGTTGGGCCAGGTTTCCCTCGTTCACCCTGTGGACCTCTGTCCCCTGGAATACCCTGATCTCCCTATGTAAAACAAAAACAGAAAGAAAATAATTGCATATAGTGGAACAAACCTGGAAAAGTCAGCCAAGAATTCTGAAGAGAAAATTCTTGCCTGTTCAGAAATAGACTGAGTCATGAGGGGAAGCTGATTTTATAGGCTAAACCTTGTCTCTGAAAATGTTTTCTTATGTTTTTGATGTTGAAGTCAATGACAGAAAGAACAGCTTGACTCTGTAACCCACTTTTCAGGGACAGGACTTGGGTACAGAAAGTTTTAGCCCTTATACAAGGATCTAGAAATGTCAGTTATGGCATAAGTAAAATTTAGGTGATCAAATTCACACAGGCACAGGGCACCAGGATTTTTCCTGTAACTTTCCATAGAAGCCTAATATTTTATGCCTTCATTTACACAAAACTTTAGTTAATCAAAGAGACAACTAGCACACAAGTTACTTTTAGTACCGAAAGGGGGCCTAAAAGGAAGCTGGAGAGGGACTTTTTACAAGGGCATGTAGTGATAGGACAAGTGTTCTGGCTTTAAATTGAAAGAAAGAATGTTTAGATGCGATATTAGGAAGAAATGTTTTACTGTGAGGGTGGTGAGGTATTGTAACAGGTTGTAAGAGAAGTTGTGGGTACTTCACTCCTGTCAGTGTTCAAGGCCAGGCTGGATGGGACTTGGGACAACCTGATCTCGTGAAAGGTGCCCCTGCCCATGGCAGGGGGGTTGGAACTAGATATTATTTAAGGTTCCTTACAACCCAGGCCATTCTGTGATTCTATGATATACGTTTCTCAGGTTTAGAACCCTGCAGAGAAGGTATAGATAGCTTTTCTAGTGGAGATAAAGAAAAAGGCAGGTTTCTCTTGGACCACGGTGCTATGGCAGTTTGAAGCTGATCCTCTTCTAAACAATTCACATTTTACAGGCTGCCAATGTGTAGGAAGTAAATCAAATACTACAGCAACTTTTCAAACAAGCGTTTCTAACTGCCTCCAGTGTTTTCTTTGTGTTTTGAAGAAGGTCCTTGTAAAAATACAGAAAACTAGGTCATATCTTCCTCCAGATTCCTCTTTAAACGCTCCACTGTGAATTGTACAAAACTCAGGACATTTGTGTTTTATGAACTCTGCATAAGGTGCTGATTTATTCAGTCCTCCTCCCTTCTAGTGTTCTCCCATCTCTTACATTTTATCTTGTACTAAGTTCTATGCAGAAGGAACTACTGTTTTTCCTGGATTTCTACATGCTCTAGTCCAGCAGGCTCACAGTCTGTGATCAAGGTATGCAGACAATAGCAATAAATGAGCCAGCCACTAGTACTTTTATGTGTTGAAATGACTTGAAAACTGCATTTCTGATTGGTATAAATCACGTATTTTCAACTACTTTGTCACTCAGTTTATAAAGAAATAAGAACAGCAGTGTTTAGTCACTCCAAGGGTATATAAGATTATTTCAGCCCAGGTGGCTTATCCCTTCTTAAAATGGATTCCGTGAGGACATACTTTTATTAGACATGAAAACCTCAAGAATTTTATTCTGTCATTCGAATTTTGTTGCTTCTCTTTTCTGTAACAGTAACAGCTGATCTCAAACTGAAGGAGTATGGTGCACAGCAGTAATAGTGGCTGCAAGAAAACCTTGACTTTATTTTCTGTATTCACTTCAATCTCTCACAGATGCAGGCCTGTGTCCTTAAAGGCAAAAACCAGAACACTGAAAACTGTAATAATGGTTAAAACCTCATGTCTCTTCAGTGTCATAAAGCAGCACTTCCTTTTCCACATTACACAGGGAGATGCTTTTCTGATTCATCAGACAAATGTGCTGTCCATCGGATTAGGACATCAGGGCTTTAGCAACATTATAATAAGAGCATCTCATATATATATGTGTGTGTGTATATATATATATATATACACACACACATAAAATAACTCATCTCTCAACTCCTGTAATCATTCCTGTCCACCACAATCTTGTTACCATAAACAGAACTGTCTAAAGAGTTTGGGAAGCAGTAAGGCATAGCACTGGCATTTCCAAGTGTGACAAGCTTGTTTTATATAAACATGATTTGTGTTTATGACATCCCAAGGATGACAATAGGGCAAGTTCACAGCTTTTGCAAAGTCTGACAACACCACAAGATCAGCTGCATTTCAATTTTTCAACTGATTCATCAATTTACACTTTCCAGGTCAACTGTGTTAGAAAGTCTATAAAATGAGTTTTTCCTCCAAATGCAGAAGACAATTCAACTCTAATTCCTTAAAGCTGTATCTAGGACTAAACATATTAGGTGTCAAGAGACTGCTTGATGTTTACAAAGAATTAAGTTCTTGGTTTTGCCTATAAAATATGTGATGATGAGGTGCTTAAAAGCTCAGTAAAAAGAGAAAAAGTTATCATAATAGGGGACTTACACGTTCTCCTTTGGGTCCTCTGTCTCCCGGTCTCCCCACAGCACCCTGAAAAATGGTTTTTGAAAAAAGATAAACCTATCAATTAAAGGCTTTGTTGTATATTCATTTGATAGCAGAACTGAAAGCAACTGCCTAGGATTAACAGCTATGGTATCTGTAAAGAATAAAATACACAAAAACTTGTTTTCTTACCGGAGGACCTGGCAATCCATCTTTTCCATTGATTCCCTATAAAGAAAAGACAAAACACAACAATTTTAAAATAAATAGTCTTAAGTATTTAAAAAATATAAGGGCTAAAGCTCAATATTTGGTGCCATATCAGTAAATATTCTAAAGTTTGCAGAGGCAGAAGTGTGTGTGGTTATAATATAGAAATACAAACCCCATCAAGATGTGCATCAAATTTTATGAGCATTCAACTTTAAATGATGAGTTATATGGAAATTTTGCAAATGTGGAATATGGACCTGTACATGCACTTTTTCAGTACCAGGTAGTCATTATATAACCATAGAAGAGATTTCTCTTATTCTAGATATTAGCCCTGATGCCCTATTACCCATTTGCTGCTGCAGAGATTATGCCTTAATATTAAGTGGCTAGATCCACTCCCTGGTTCTTAGGACTTCTAGCACAGCACAGTTTTGGTCTCCTGGGCTAAACCTATTTCCTTCCCAAAAGAGGGTGCTCTCATTCATACCTCTTGCTGGAAACTGTTCCAGGCCTATGTTATCCTCCAAACTGGAATGTGACATTATCATAGAATCATAGAATCAACCAGGTTGGAAAAGACCTTGATCCAACACTGCCGTGGTTACTAGACCATGGCACTAAGTGCCACATCCAGTCTCATCTTAAAAACCCCCAGCGACAGTGAATCCACCACCTCCCTGGGCAGCCCATTCCAATGTCTGATTACTCTCTTCATACAAGTTTCTTCCTAATATCCAACCTAAACCTCGCCTGGCAGAGCTTAAGACCATGCCTTCTTGTCCTACTGCTGGTTGCCTGGGAGAAGAGACCGACGCCCACCTGGCTACAACCTCCTTTCAGGGAGTTATAGAGAGCAGTAAGGTCTCTCCTGAGCCTCCTCTTCTCCAGACTAAAAAACTCCAGCTCCCTCAGTCTCTCCTCATAGGACTTGTGCTCAGGTCCCTTCACCAGCCTCACTGCTCTTCTCTGGACCTGCTCCAGCCCCTCCATATCCTTCCTGAACTGAGGGGCCCAGAACTGGACACAGTACTCCAGGTGTGGCCTCACCAGCGCTGAGTACAGGGGGTACAGGGAGTACAGGGGAAGAATCACTTCCCTGGATCTGTTGGCCACACTGTTCCTGATAGAGGCCAGGATGCCATTGGCTTTCTTGGCCACCTGGGCACACTGCTGGCTCATGTTCAGCTTCCTGTCAATCCAAACTCCCAGGTCCCTTTCTGCCTGGCTGCTCTCCGGCCACTCTGTGCCCAGCCTGTAGCACTGCAGGGGGTTGTTGTGGCCAAAGTGCAGGACCCAGCACTTGGCCTTGTTGAACCTCATCCTGTTGGAATCACACTATCTCTCCAGCTTGTCCAGGTCCCTCAGAAGAGTCTTCCTGCCTTCCAGCAGATCAACAGGCCCTCCCCCCCCAACTCGGTGTCATCTGCAAATTTGCTAATGATACACTCAATCCCCTCATCCAGATCATCAATAAAGTATTAAATAGAACTGGGTCCATCTAAGGGTCCTAGTTGGTATGGGCCAAAATAATGTCAGAGAGTATATTAACAATTGCACAATGCCAGATAATTTCAAGATAAATGCTCTGGCACTGCTTAATTTAGTAGGATGTATATGTATTTGCACATGCAGCAAACTCACTGCTGTTTCACTGAGTGAGAAAAAAGGACTTGCATGAGGACATCAGGAATATTTCTTTCCCTCTTAAACTGCAAAGTGGAGTTTTATACAGATTAGGCACCTTGGGCTAATTTGCTGCTGAAGTTACAGAAATTGTCTCTTCTTTCAAGGCAGAAGTGTAATGTGTGGTTGTGCTGACAAGCTGCAATGGTCTGCTTCTCATGCTCATCCCCAAAACACCAAGCTTCTGGGGAGATAATGAGTTATGTGCTATTCTAGCTAAACCCTTATAGAATATAAAATAGGTTGTTTTAAACCATCTTGGACAGTGCGGACCACACTGCTGTCACACTTTCATTAAATATACAGGTCAGATTAGACACATCTTAAGTGAATAGCAAATGCCTCAGTTGCAGTGTTGCATCACCTGTATAAAGAAGAGCCAAAATATTCAGAGTCATGAAGCACATGCTTCTCTATCTAAACTGAAACTGAGAATGTATTCTGTCACCCCATCCTTTATAGACTGTGTTAAATTTCTGGGTTCATACTCCCCCCCTGGAAAAACTACTAGAGGAAGTTTTATGTCAACAAAATCCAAATGACCTTCATAAGACCTTTAAAGGCAACATCTCAGTAAAATTAACTATTAAAACACCACAATACCAGGAATTCTTTTCTGGATGGTTAATACTGAGCCCTACAGCTCAATGTGTTCTTCAGATATTACCTAGACTAACACAAAGCAAGATGTAATGTCATTTCTTGTGTAACTTCTGATAAACTAAAACATCCTTTTGTATATATTCAGTATAAAATTCCTTACTGGTTTTCCTTGTGGCCCTTCTGGACCAGGGAAGCCTATATCTCCTATAGGTCCTCTTTCACCCTAAGAAAGAAGAAAATGCACATAAATCTGTCAGTAAAATCTTGCATTAGGTGTTTGAAATATTCGTGTATTATCATAGGAGTCCAGAACTCAAATCTGTACTTACAGGTTCCCCTGGCACCCCTGGGGACCCAGGAGATCCTGGCTTTCCCTGCAAACAGAGAATATTACAGATTCAAATTACTAGGAAGCAAAATAGAATTTTCCTCCAGGTAAAAAATAAGAGAAAATATATATGTGAATGAAATATTCATGTTCTTGTTCATTATTTAATGAAAAATCTTGCTCTTTTGTACAATGTTACTCAATCCCTGGGTTTTCTTTACACTTTCTGAATACTGAGATAATGTTTTCATGAGGTTTTCTTTTACAACACCACGATTTCCACAAGGAGAAGTCATAGGCAGATCAAAGTTTATCACGGTATATGTAAAATCAAGATTAAGGTCCTTCCAAGTCCTAACTTTTTTTTTTTTGTGTATGACTTTATTACTGACTTAATGTCTTTTGCAAAATTTCTTCATTCTGTTTTTTGGCCACTTTTATTGTTGTTTTATGTTCAGCCTGTCAGAATTCACAATCCTCTCTCATCTCATCATTTAGATGCTGATTTTAAATCTTCTTTTCTCTCTTTATATATATATATATATATAATGGTTTTCTTTTAACAACTTCAATCTATATTTCCCAGAAATAGCATTAGACCAGATCCTCAGGTGACTTGTACAAGTGAGGAATCAAATACATCAACATCAGTGACAACTTTGGGAACAACAGGACTGAAGATAAGTGCTGAGGAAATAGGCATTGATGGAAATGCTTGCAGAACCTCAGCCCAAGCTTCCCTCATAATCCCAGCAATCTCAGCAAAGTGCCAAAGTGTAAATAAGAGGTTTATATTCTCAGATGGGAAAAAGAGTCCACTATTCAATCTAGGGAATAATGACAGGGAAGGAACACAAATTATTTTCCAGTAGGATATGTGGATATGTTTCACACTCTTCCTAGGCTACTGAAAAAGTTGTTTTTCATATGTCTATTAATTTGTTAATTAAAACTTCTTAGCATAAAATATAAATTAATTTCAGGAGGACATAATTTATTTCGGTGGATTTTATTAGATTTAAATATAATCAACAGAATGCAACTCCATCAGTGATGAAGGGACCTCATTAAATATTTCATATCCAACTTGAATAGACAACATCCAATGACTTGGAAATACACAGGGAATGAACAATTGTGATAATCCTAACCAGCTACTGCATTATTATTCACATTGTGAAATATATTTCAGAGCAACAAACTTTGAAACCCTTACATCTGCTACAAAACTCAGAGAAATACTTCTCTTTTTCCTTTAAGTGTGCAATTTGCTTTAGGAGAACCTAATGAAATGAAGCTGTTTAAGATCATGTTGTCTCTTAGAACTCACAGTAAATAGACTAAATCAGTGGCTAATGGAAATGACAGTGCATAGACACAAACTTCTTTTTATTTCATGAAACACATATTTATAATTTAAACAGCTCCTAAATGGATTGGTAGCTGCCCAAATTTAATAATAAATCTATTTGCATATAAATAACTCCATATTGCCTCCTGAAATATGGATAAACTTTTTTTATTAAACTGTGAATGCAATATAATGTATTCATTTCCTTTAGGAACACAAATGAATAATTATAATTTCAATTTATCATTAGTTACATTTACTTTCACCTACAACAAAGTTTCTGGATGACTTTCAGAAATCTCTCTGAATACCACATGCTGACAAAGCATTTCCCTAAAGCAAATGTTTGATTGACTTGATATGCAGATCCTTGTGGATTGCAATAACTAGTGTTCATAACTTTTCTTTGTGATAGAAAGATGCTCAGAAATTTGTGCAAGCCCATGAACAGAGAAAAAGTCTTTATCTATATTAAATAGAGGCAATGAGAAGAATCTCATATTCTTTCTTAGCTAAGCATATGCAGCTTCAAATTCCAGCTTTATCATGTATTCACACCACTCCCTCCTGTCATTTTAATAATAATATGAACCCTCAATGCTATTAAAAATCTAATTTCTTTAGGAAAAACACAATCTTCCTACCTGCCTATAAAGTATAAGCCAAGCACTCATGTCCCACAGTGGTAGAGATTACAGCTCAGCATCTTGCTTGACCTGCTTTTTCAGCTTCTAAAAAACTGAGTTTTCCTTAATGAACATACATACCGGTGTCCCTGCTACTCCTGGTGTGCCGGCTGGTCCACGGTCACCCTGAAGAAAAGATAAATCTATACTTAAATGGCAACAATCAAACCAGAAGTTTGTTTGTGTATTCCCATTAAAACCTGAGGAAGGATTATTCAGCGAACTGAAAATGGGGACAAGATACAGGCTCTGCTAAATGCTAATATTTATCTCTGCCAGTGGCTCATTTTACAGACCTGAGCAAGTAACCAAAATCCTTTGTTTAGGTTCTCTTATATTATGTTTCTATGCTATCCCTTTGATTCTGCTTCAGGCCTCCCTTGAAAAGGGATGGAAAGTCCCTGACTTATCTGAAGTTGTCCAAATAATTACAATTTGTAGTCATGACAATGACCAAAATTCACACAGGGTAATTCACTTTCATGTCAACATCCCCATGTTTAAGATGTGTCTTTCAAAGAAGTTTTTGTCTTCCTGCAACCCGCTCATTCATTTACTAAAAGTCAGCACCCTCAATTTGCTTGTGCCATGGCCCTTTCTGGGGGGGCAAAGGTCCTCATTTTAGCATACACCCATCTTCATCTATGCTTTAAGCTAAGACAATGGGGTATTTTTTTGCTGGAGGTGATGAGTTATGGGCATAAATTCATCTTTCTTGAGAGGTCTATAAACCAAAGCAGACAGAGGTCAACAGTGGTAAAACTCTACTCAGCGGTATTTGCTCTAACCCACTGCTGACGTGTGTTGGTCTGCAGCACTACGCTTTGCTACTGTAACACTGGTTAAAAATGTAAGAAAAAATTAGGGTCCTAGCTTCTATATTCATGTCAGAAAAGTCCTGGCACTGTTAAAGCCATACTAACAGGCCAATATTTTTCTGAGATGAGTTTATATTACCAGAAGTAGATTTGCTAAAGCTCTGCCAGCACAGCTACACACATGTTCTGCTGTGCAGAAGAGCCTCAGGGAGTGTTGGTATTTCTGGTTTCTGTTCTTGTAACTAATGCTGTTTTGTCTCATTCTCATAATTTTGCTCAGGTGCACAATGGCAATGCTGCTAATTAAAAAGACTTAACTCTGTTACACGAAGTGTAGACAGATGACAAGTTAAATGTCTGACCTCATGTCCAGAGGAAGCAACTTGCTTACAGGCCACAGTTCAATCTCTCCTGTTGTGGAGGCTGAGAGAAGTTCCTTAATGCATGTTTGTCCCTCAGTGAGGGACACAACATGCACCTCTGGAACAGTGAGCACTATCTGCATCAGGTAGGGCATGTTGTCTGGAGTACTGCACACTGTCCCAGTGGTTATTCTGGACCCAGAACTTGTGGTGTTTTCCCTGTATGGTGGCCATGATGACAAAACTGAAAATTCCTAACATTGCCCTTGCAACTTTTTCTTTTCTTTTTTTTTTTTTTTTTTCAGGGTTATTGTGGTGCTTTCAGCAATGTGGTTTGCAGCATGGTTGCACAAACCACTGTGTCAGCACAGCTGAGGGAAGGGGCATTTTATCCAGAGGACATAAAGTTCTTAAACCAGTTCATGAAATTATCATGAAATTATAGCAAACATTTGTCGGTGGAAGATGAAATTCTGCTGCACAGAGGTGCATAATAGCTCTATATTAAAAACCAGTATGCATTATACTGTTGGGACTGGCAGGCTCCAAGATTCTGTTCATTTATTTGCACCAGAAATGTGGAATTTTGACCAAATTTAGTTAAGGAAAAGATATTTTTACTCTGGGAAAGGGCCAAACACTCACTTAGCTGGTTTATACAATTTGATCCATTGCTTATTCCCTTTATTTAATTCCTGTCCCCACTTTGTCTAAGTTAGGCCTGTAATATCTCCCTGTGTTTGTTCATTTTGAAATCAGACTAGTTCTTATTTGCTTGTAAATTGAAGTATTACAGAGCAAGAATCATCTCACGTAATTTAAACATCTACCTTAGATCTTGTCACTCCCCACTCTGCACAAGTAGCAGTAATGCACAGTGATATCAAGAGAGAAACTTTAATTTACATTGCTTTTTGGTGAAAAAAGTTTCAGTAAACTATTTTTGCATGAAGTCATTGAATAATGTAATTAAAAAAGCTGAACAAATACTTCATTTGCAAAAGAATTTACTCATTTTTCTTCTTAAATTGATGGGCAAAATCAAATTGGTTTTGCTGACAGAAAGCATATTTATGGATTTTTTCATTTCTCTGATGTTTTGTACTTTGCCATATTTAGAAATGAATATCAAAATACTGACATTTTTAGCATTTCATGACAAGCTAAATTCATAATCGGCCTCCACAACTAGCAAGCAAAAGGCTGAGAACAAGACAGATGGAATGCAAGCACAAGACAATGTTTGATAGAGAAAAGGAACTAGTGACCATACAGAGAAACATGTTAACTATATGACTATCAAGTACAGAAGTGCTCTACCAAGTTAAGACAACAAAATATTAAAAGACCTCCCACACAGAGTTTTCCATTTGCAGAAAATGAAATGTTATGTTGGAGGAGTATATGATTTAGATTCACAGTAAAGCAAAAAAGTATAGATAAATGTGCAAAGACTTTTTCACACAGAATCGTTAATACACAAAAAAAATTCAAACATGGTTTCAGAAAACATTTAGTTGCAGGTAATGTCCACTAAGAAGAAGCCACCATTACTTCTTTTTAAGAGTCCTACCTTTTCCCCTGGGAGTCCTTCCAGTCCTGGTAAGCCCATTGGTCCTGGGTCTCCCTGATTTTTTTTTTTTTTTTGATTAAAATAGATTGTATACATTAGAATTTCAGTACTCTACTTGAGAAATGTTGAACAGCAAGCAACAGCAGATTATTTAACCTGAGATTAGTAAAACAGCTAACCAGTTATTAGGTGAACAGATTTTGTTATACTCTGTTTTACTGATCTGTAAATTAAATTTTTCTCAGAGGCACTGTCTGAATATTTGGATCAGTGGTTTAATTTTGACGAAGAATGTAATCCAGAAGACTCCACTTCAGTGCTCTTGCAAGCCAAGGTCACCTCTAAAGCACCTCCAGGCAGCAGAGCCTTGAGATGTAAGCATACACTGTCAATCAGAGAACCAAACTCCAAGTAATTCAGCGCCCTGTTCCCTGAACAAAGGTCACTCTGCAACAAGGGATGCACAGACTGGATCCCTGGGTAGGTTTTCAAGTTTTGAAAGAAAACCAGATACATGCTCCACTAGAGAAATCAGGTTAACATGTAGAGAGGGGAAGCCCTATTAACTGCTTTTTGAAAGAAAATTGATAATTTATCATGGAGATTTAAACTACAGCCAACAACTCCAGTATTTCAGCAATTGTCAGTTAAATCAAAAGCCATGGCAAATTGCCGTCCGGATTTCTTGAAGTCTCTGACAGATCTCTCTTCCCACACCTAAACTCCGCTTGGTAGCTGGTGTTTCCTGAGTAGGAAGTGGACACCGATACAGAAAGATGTATTCAGCTTCTGGGCATTATGGTGAAAAAGAAGAGGCTTGTGAGTTCTTTTGAAAACAGATTATTCAATTGTTTTAGGAAACTATCTCACAACTTTATGTTTTGCTGTCACTGCTGAGGGGTTTTCATTTGGGTTTCTTCTTGTCCTTGACAAGCATAGTTATCACTTTGGTTCATAAATCAAAATATACTTTTTCATGTAGCTGACTTTCCATTAACACTTGGCAAAGAATCAAACATATTCCTAAACCCTGCATGAGCTGGTTGAGTGGAGATTATGCACCTTCATGACAGATGAAGTCCAAGCCAGCTCTTAAAGATATTACCTTCCTATACCACTTTGATCTTGGTTGGGTCAGTGTGAGCTGGTTGCACTTAATTCTGCTACTCTATTTGTGTAGATATTGTGCCTTCACTGGTAGGAAAAAAGGTACATCTAAGTGGTACTGGCATGCTGCTTTCATGAGTAGAGACATTCCTCAGTAATTTCACACTGATACTGAAGACAAAGATTCCATAATATGGACCCAAGTTAGAAGACAAGAACCCTTCAACAAGAGAAGACACATCATCATCTCCCAAATATTGTGGCCTGATGTGTTCAGACAAGGCCAGTCTCCAGTGACATATAAATAATCCGTGTGTTCTCCTCTGACCCTGATTCTTTATTATCATGCATTCAAGATGTTGGCTGAACCATCTCCTTATTTATTGTGCCCAAGACTAACAATTTGAAGACAGGACAGCAGCTGAAGAGGTCAAATGTCAGCTTCTTGGTGGTTGAATGAACTCCTGAATGGAACCCTGCAGTAATTTGTTTCACTAGTAGGAGGCAGAGATGTTATTTGCTTTGCTGGAAGGGACATGATTTTGTTTCAAAAAATGATCTCCAATATTTTTCAGGGTTTCCTGATCTTTATCAAGTAGACAATTTACCAGCAGACCATGGGGAACACAGCATGATTGGGGACAGTTTCCTTCCCTAACCACCTCAGCTTCTACTATACCGATTTTATCGGTAAATTTTTTGCATCAGTTTCCATTATTTGACATATAGTACTCATCCCATTTCAGTCATATTGCCTGAAGTTCAAAAGAGGCCTGCTGGACACAGTTCTACCACACTAATCACGAAGGAACAGCACCTGTTTCATTGCTTTGCAGTGTTATAGTGCTGTCACAATAATTCTGCAGTTATGTGACATTCTTTAGACTCAAAAAATAAGTACAAAATTTATTAGAATTTTAACTGTTGTGGAAGCATTTACCCAATTTTTAAAACAATATTAATTTAAAATGATATTTGATACTATTATATTTTTTGGGCTCAACCATCAACACTCAAGTGTTACTATTATCTTCTGGGTATTTGCACTGATGTCCAGCCATCAAGACACAATACCTGTGAGTTTCAACTTTTCCACCTTCAAGTCTAGGAACTGTAGCAACACACTGCAAGATGATCACAAATACAGTTTCTCTATTATAAAGGCAAGGACTTTGGAAAATGTACGCCCATTCAGGGTTTGGATCTACATTCTGCTGGCAGATAGTGCTATGCAACTGTTCAAGATTCTTCCCTTACTTGTCTTTCCCCTCCTCATAATGTTTAAAGAACAATCACATAAAAAGGACATAACACTGTTTAATGTGAAAAAAATAAATCAAAAAGTTAAATAGATCTGCTTTTGAACGTTGACCTGCATAGCTGAAAGGCATAGTGGCTCCTATGGTCATCATCCTCTTGCTCACAAGAAGCAATGTGATCTTACTGTAAGTAGCCATCATGCCATTTTCGAAGAAAACATCAACTTCTACTTGTTACTAGCTGGCATGATGTAGCACACACTGTACCTTGACCATTATCACTTTCAAATTTAATACTGAGAACAATCTAATAGCTCCAAAGGTATTTTCTGCCTTTATTTCACCTTCTTTGGTCTTAGACATATCCAGAAACAGCTCAGCAGAGATGAATCCATAAGCTGTTAATACTATGTTCAGTCGTTCATTACATTTTCACTTAGAAAATTTACCAAAATTGCAAAATTCACAAGCCTGGCAATTAAAAAGGCTTTTTCAGGTGTACTGATTGTTCAGGAGGTAAGCTACCTGCTAAAGAATGCAAATAGACTCTTCTACCCTTGTAATTACTATCATGTGTCAAACTACTTTGGGAATTTTCTATTAAGACCAAAAAAGACATACATACCACTGTTCCAGGATCTCCTTTTGGACCCTGCAGAAACAAACCAAAGTGGAAAAACATTTAAAGAATGTCTTAGACAATAAGATGATATTTTTAATGATGGCATTATGAGTATACTTTGCTAATGCAGTGCATTTAGAATCAGTATTAATTCCAGCTCTCTCAGTTGACTAATTTATCATAAAATCTTAATAATTTGGGTTTTGTTTTGCTGTTCCAGAATACAGAGAAAGACAGCTCTGTACTTTGGTGCCAGGCCACAACCATAAATGGTACATAATGTAAGGACAAAGTCCTCACTGATGGCTACAACATATTTATGTAGTTACCAAAATGACAATCATCTCAAAACAGTAGAACCTGCCTATGATGCTAACAAGGAGGAGGATGTAAAATAAGTGCACAGTATCTCTGGCTCCAAAGAACCAAAGCAGCAGTGTCCAGCTGCAAAGTGGTGCATTTGCACTCTGCAGCGTGGCAGACACCAGCCCTGTATTACTGCCACAATATAATTCCTGGTTTTGCACATTTTTCTTTACTGTAGCTAGAAACAGTGAATCAGTGACAGAACTCAGATCAGACTTCATGAGCTTCTCATTTCTGGCACCAAATTTAATCCACTATGAAGCTATGCCATCACAAACTATAAATACAATATGACATGATTTTAGATATTAGAATACTTTAACTAAGAAGTCCAATACAAAATTCTGTACCACTTCTGCAGCCTTTACTTGCTAGGACAAAATACTTAAATCAAAATAAATTACTCTCCAAAATGTGCTAAAATACTTAATAAGCATAAATTCACAGACTCTATATTATTTTCTACATACCAATCATACACTTATTTTTTCAATCTTTCGATATAAAATCAAATTCCACACAACCAACCAATCTCCCTATTACTATGTCAATTAGCTCTTAGATTTCTGATAATACTTACCGGAGGTCCTGGTGGACCTGGATAACTAGCGACACTCGCACCTCCCTGTAACAGCAAGTTTAAAAGTTGAGTTGGGCCAAAATTAGGTGTGGATTGAAAAAAACCAATTAACATTAAAGAAAAATACCTGCAGTTTATACAAGCTGCTCATTCCATTTCTTTCATTGTAAGGCATACCCTTTAAAGCATAAAAACCAAATAAGTGTCATTTATGAATTATAAAGGCAGAATTATTGTTCTGTTCAAGTCCTGTAGCCTGGCAAACCTGTGGTATACTTTTTGTTCTCAATTTGTCAAAGATTCCAGACATTTCAAAAGAACACAAGATACATACCAATGCAGCTTGGGACTTTTTTTTGAATGATAAAACCAGAAACCTCTAAATCTCAGTGTATGTTATATTTTGATATTTATTATTACAATTCTGCAGAATAAATTTTGTGTTAGGTACTATTCCACTTAATTTGGAGTTCACAGTCTTTCCCTAGGTTCCCTGAGTTCTCTGATCTCATGTACCCAGGCTCTCAAATTACTCTAGTAACACTGGATGCCAAGGTTAACTAATTTGACCAGCTTTCTAGGATGGCTTTAGTGACCTGAACTTACTCAGCGATGAATTGCAAAAAAAAAAAAAAAAGGAATACAGATATATTTTGAAAAAAGAAATTTTTTCCATCCTGCAATACTAACGTATTAGATTGACAGTTAGTTCCTTTTATTACTTTACATTGTACTCACAGGTATATTGTTCTTAGTATAACATTCAAAATATAAAACAAAATGTCTCACCGGAGGCCCAGGTGGTCCAGGTTTCCCAGGAGAGCCTTCACTACCCTAGTAGAGCAAGAGATTCATAAGACTTATTTACTGTAACTGGCCAGATTTATTCCATACTCAAGCTATGATGACCATAATGACAATAAACAAGAGATACAAGCAGGTAATATCGAGAATAAATTCTCCTGCCCAGTTCCTGCTTAAGTTTTAGGCAAGTTATGAATCATTACTTTGTACTAGTTTTTTATTTTCTTAGTTGCTTGCTGCTTTATGTGTAGTAACTTCCTTATGGCAAAATAGTAGTGGTAACCTGGGTTGTGAGACATTTCATAAGTACCAGGAGAGAGAGGAAGATTAAAAAAAAAAAAGATTTGTTAATATGAATTTTTAAGCAACTGGCAGATAAAAGTTAACATTCATTGTTAACTTTGTATGTTATTTTGTAAAAGCCAGTCCTCAGCTGATCATTCATATGTAAATAAAGAAGAGCTACAGTTTGAGAAGTTCGGTTTACATAGATATGCACTGAATAAAAATTGGGATTTTTAAAAAAAATCTTCTTTATTAAGAGACATAATGAATATATTTTTGGTTTTTATTACACAATATTAATCTGCTGTTATCTGTATCTGTAATCTGTTCTGCTGATGTGTACTGAATTGCTTATATTAAAAAAAAAATATAGCTGCTGAGATTTTTCCCCAGCAGAATGGTGGGGTCTCTGACTAGTATAGAGTTACAAAGGTTTCAATACAAAATTTCCCAAAAAATCTTTTCGAAATCTTATCACTACAATTCAGTAAAGTACACTGTATAGTTTGAAACAAGTCTGTCAGAATTTTTCACTAACTTTGTTGAATCCTATTAAACACGTCTCAGTGAGACCCTTAGGTCACATATTTAAAATTACTAAGGTGGCAAAAGTCAAGCTAAGTGTTCAATGCCACCAGAAAAATATAATTGTAGTTAAATGCTTATACTAGAATAATTTTCAAATGGTCCTGCTAATTGATAGAAACTAAGCCTCCAAAGTGTGGTTTGGAATACTTCCTGGGGTATTAAAATACTATTATTTTAGAAAGCATATTATGTGATCTTTTCTCAAACATGTCCCCCCAGATGAAGGAGGGAGGAGAAAATTACTGAGCCTGTAGTTCATTTACTTCATCACTCTTTTTGCCCTTTTTGAATGAGGAACAAGTTATAGAGCAGTGGCTTCTCGTTCTCACTTCTGTGTAAATTGTGAACAAGGAACTAACAAAGACTTGGGTTTTGCATTCAGTTACATAAAAATGAAATAACTGGGGTAAATTTTTCTTATTGTAGTCTGCAAGGAGAAAACTGTCATTCAAATTTTATACTGAAATAATGTCGGAGCTTTACAAAATAGTTTCCCTTCTTACTCACACAGAGTCAAAGTTTTGCAGAGTATTAGTAGGATCCCACACATTGATGTGGCAGTGTTATGCCTGAAAAACTCCAAGGTAATAGAGAAAAAATAAAAAAAGCTGTATTCATATACAAAACGGAGAACTTGTACCAGATAGTATTTTGCAGCAAACTAAGTTTGTCTCTGCTGTATTTCTCTGATCTGAGGAACCCGAGAAATTAGTTTGACCTCTTAGTTACAGTGGATAATATTGATCGCCTGATAAAAGAGTACATAAGTTTCATAAAAAGCAGTGCTACAAGAGTGTAAATTAAGTATAAAATTAAGTGTAAATTAAGTATAAAGGAAGCATATGCATTTTTTTCAGAATGACTAATAATAACTTTCAGTACTTGTGAAGCACTTTTAAAGTATGCAAATACTTTTAATACTGGTAAAAGAATGAGTAGCAGACCAAGCAGTCACCAGTCATATTCTATTTCACAAACACAGTTTCACTTTCCTAAACTTAATATAATACCTTAGACCTAGAGAACATTCTCTGCAACTTACATACACCACAAGGACTGCAATTCAAAATATAAGCCTATATGCACAGCATTGCTTGGGGAAAGTACTTGTATTAAGACACAAATAAAAATTTGAAATGTATGTCACATTCTTGTTTGCACTCTTGCACTTGTTTAAAAAAGCTCCCAAACACAAGAGTGTAATGGGATTGCAAAACCTTCACAGATCTTTACCAAGACTAAAGAGAAGGAATACCTTTTCGCCTTTTGCCCCTGCTGGACCAGGATGTCCAGGTCTTCCTGTGACTCCCTGCACAACACAGAATTCTTTATATTAGTTATGAAAAAATGAAACACAGTATTCTTACATTGTCTCTAAGTTTTTAAAACTTTTGCTTTTTGAAGGTCATTTAAACCTAATTATGCTGCTGCTTCAGGTTTAAATATTTCTCTTCTGTCTGATACAACAGTTGTGTCCTTCAGATAAGTCCTTTGAAGGGTAAAACTTGTGTTTGCAGTTGCATTTTCACCTTGGCAAACTAAATGCACTGACTCTAACTGGCACATCTTGATACTGCTAAGAATCACGCATTACTGCTAAAATGCCAGTTTATATATTCCACATTAAACTTCCTACACGTGCTACAGTTTTTGAAAGAAGCATTAGTACTGCCATGAAACCTAGGAATGAATAATGATCATACTAACTAACATGATTCCACCCAATATGTAGAAAATAAAATTTGAAAAAATTTTGAAGAGGACTTTTGCCAATAATACCAAAAATTCTAATGATATATTTCAGCGCCTTTAAATACTGTCAGATTATTCTCATACTTTGTTTTTTACTTGTGAAACCAAGTAATTACAGAACAAAAAACAGAATGCAAGTAATTACTTGGTTTCAGCACTGAATTTTTTCAGAATTACTAGCTGGAATTATTTTTAGATTTTTATTACTAACAAGTATAACTTGAGTACAAATACATAATTCACTGCAAGTGCGCACGCCGTAAGTCATGTAACCTCACAGACTCTCTAGTAACGCTAAAACTTGAAACCTATTTAAGTTACATAAACTTTGAGCCCAGAAAATGACAGTATTTTCAGTAACATCAACACCAACATAGTTTACTTTATTAGAGCCAGTATGGGTAAGGTTTTTATTATTACTGTCCTAAAAGATAAAAGAAAGAATAAGAAACTAGACAGCTACAGCAACCTCTCCAGAGGTAAATTAGATCACAGGTGATACCAAACACTTACAGATGGTCCACTGGGTCCTGGTATGCCTGGCAGTCCAGGAGCACCTTGAAGACCCTGGAAATTAAAAGAGCACACATCTGGTTCCTCTCCCACTTTTACATAAAAAATGCTTATATTCAGCATGTCCAGCAGTATTACAACTATATTAAAATGCATTTTCTTCTAAAAGGTTGGTGCATTATTTTTAGTAATGAAAAAAAACCAACACCTTGACATGCAGGGAAGAGATTATCATTGGACAAGGTCAGAGGTAACTTCTTGCTGGAGTGATAAACACCACTTGTCCTTCAACCTTTCACATTGTTATCTTATGTCTCGTAAATCTTTTTGTCTTTAGTTGTGTAGATAAGAACAGGACAGCTGGCTTTTCCTTAGAGATCAATTTTCTATTTTCTATCACTAAAAGGCTCTTCTTTTGGTGAGAAGACATTTACTCAGACTTTTCAGTGTTTCCTGATGCTATCTAAATGCAATACTGTTTTCTGCCTGATTTATAGATTTTGCTTTTTTGATAATGGAACATGACATTTTACACAGTATTTAATGATCCACTTTCCTGCTTTTATTCGATTTTATTGCCTGTAAAATTGATTGACTCTGGTATCCACTTACTAAACATACACGTGTTGCAACTTACTACAGTAAATACAGATGGGATTTGAGATAAGCCTGGATGCCACTGAAAGTCTTTCCTCTGCCACACCAGGCTTAGGTGCAATTTTAGACATGTAAAAGACATGTACTAATGAGAGCCAACTGCTCTTGGTTCTGCCTATAGTCCACGAAGGAAAACAGATACCTCCCAGCAGAGATTGATTTTATCTGTCTATCCGCTGACAAGAAGAAGGTGTATTTCTCCTGTTAAATGCTGTGTTTGAGAAGGAATGGCTAAGGGGGCAGTCTAGAAAGCTACAGAGGTCAGGAGCCCTGAAATAGGTCCTCTGAGGGAGAGACTGAGGGAAAAATTTCAGACAGAAATAAATCAGGAAAAATGTGGAGTTAGGGAGAGACATTGATTTCCCTTTCTTGCTTCTACACACAGAGGACATTGATCCGCCTCTGCAGCTTTTCATAGTGGCAGGATGTGCTCTGTTCATTTCTAATTACTTTACTCTGATGCTGTAGTCATATGGAAAATTAATATGAAGCCAAAGGAACCTTTTCTGCAGTTCTTGTTACTGATGTTAAGAAAACCCTCCCCCGAAAAAAAGGCATGTTTTTTAAAGGAAGAGAACTAAGCTTCAATGAAGATTAAAGGTCATATATTAAAAGCATATGGAAGTTGATGAGTGCATTTCAAAGAGTTTCAGGGGGCTTCTCAAACTTTCTTCCTATTTCCATGCTAACCAAATCATAACACTGAAAATAAATGCATTTTTTTAAAAGAATTTGTAAAAAAAAGTTGTTTTTAAATTTAGTAAGCTTTTTCATATGTGCTTCTGACAAAAAAATTCACTTGCACCCTCACAATGTCATAATCAAAAGTTACTACTAAACAATGAAAATATCAGAGCTAAGGCAGGCAACGAGCTCTCAAACAGTGAAGAAGCACGTGAGCAGTTAATTTATTAATACAGCACAACACCCCACCGAGTTAATGAAAAATTTACTATGAATTTACCCTAGAGTCCTTTAAAAAAACCCTAACTGCCAGTTATAAACTTGCTGTTCTATTATTACCCTCTTAATTGCCTGAAACATCTCACTTGGTTTTCAGAAGTTAAATAGTATTTGAATTGTTGAAATGGTTTCACTAATCCCTCAGCCTGTTAGGACTGAATTGTAGAGATATCCTGTAGGGTACACAAAGGATGTGTTACTTTCCCATTTATTTTTTAGTAAAATTCTGCATGAAATTTGTTTATGGCTGCCCACCATTTCAGGGAATATGTTCTGAATTCAACCTCAGGAAGCTCTTGTTTTGATAAGAAGCAAGGAATTAATGAGATCTATATATCGTGTAAAACAAAAGGAAAAATAAGCATGATACTTTAGGCTGACAACAGGCTAAACTCTGGGGCAAAACAGTAGCAGGAATACATATTTAATGCTTCTGCTGCATCTTTTTTTCCTCATATAACTGTTTACATTTGGAAGCTAAGGATACTGATGAACACAGATTTTTTTGAAAATTATTCTCATTCTACTAGTCTACATGGCCTTAGTGCCAAAGAAATGTAAAATGATCATAAAGAATTGCAAACCCCTCAACCAATACACTCTAAATGTGTTTCATATTCTCCTGGTGCTGTGTCTTGTAGCCAGCACTCCCTGATTACAAGAGAATTTTTTCCTTCTCCATAAAGACACAGAAATAACTCTACGAATGCAGTATATGATGCAAAATACTGTAAATACTTTGAATTCAGCCTCTTCAAACATTTTCCAGTTTCCACTTAATAGTAATTGCTGCTATGACCATTCCCATCAGAGTATTTGCCTAATGGAATGTTTTTGAAAATAAATTCTAAAGGGGATCTAATAAAATGAAAGCAGATACGTTATAAACATGAAGTATTTTCTGAAAATATTTGGCATTTGCCTATTTATTGCTCTATACCATACTCTTAAGAATTAGCATGTAAATGTATATGAGGCTTTAAAATATATAAATGAGTAAAAATTCACAGACAAAAATGAAATAGATGTTATTTAATTGAATAATAACAGTTAATCTTATTGAAAATTCAGAATTGAGAGCTACTTATAGCAATACATGACTATCTCAGCAGTTTTAAAGAACTAAAAAACATCCTGTGCATTTCATTCTCAGTCTAGGTCTTTACTCAGGTTCAGATAGGAACGCAGCTGCTGTAGAAATGAAGTAGTTGTACCTCATCACCCTTCTCTCCCGCAAGCCCAGGAAATCCACGTTCACCTTTGCTTCCCTATAAAAACATAACATTCAAACAAATATTTTTGTTAGAGAACAATGAATTTCATGTTCTGTAAGGCATTTTATGACCCACATTTAATATATATTACTATGAAGCCTTAACAGCCATGGAGCCTAGAGCAGAAAAAAAAAGGCTCAAAACAACCTAATGTAGCAGTGAATCTGATGAGAAATTGGTTTAAACATGTTTCAAAATGGCTTTTTGTATTTTCTGCAGTGTCACTGCCTCCCTCTTCCCAACACCCCCCTGTGAAGGGCTATTGTCCTCCATACAGAGTGTCCTGGGAAGGTGTCCTGAGGTGTTTCTCATTGGTCCTTTGTTAACCCCTTCCTATTGGCTGTTGACCCTTTACCTGATGGTTTTTTTCTGTGTGACCCTGAACTTGTGACTGGTTTCCCTTTGACCCTCCTAAAAGCCTTATAAACCCCTTCCCAACAATAAACTCCCTCTTGCCTCCTCTCCACGCCCGGTGTGCTGTCTCTGTGCCTGCCATGGAGCCACGTGGGTGCTGGGGGGAGGGGAGGGCACCTCTCCCCTCCAGGCTCGGGGCCTGAGAAACCCCTAGTGCTGGAGTTCCCTTTTCCCGTCCCTCAAGACGTCGGAATGGTTCTTCAGATGGAGATGGAACTAGAACTGGGCTCCCCCATGTCGTGGGTGGGGAAAGGGATCCAGAACCTAAAAGCTTTAAAATATCACTCCAATTGAGGTGAAAGGAAATGAGCGGTTTGTACCTAGCAGGCAAACTAGACAAAAGGCCTGATGGAGACATTAACACCAATGAGCTCAAAACGCTTGCTGAAATGGAGAAAGTTCACTTGTCATGGAATTAGACTCAATGATAGAAGATATCTATATGCCAAAGCATGTGGCATTTGATCTGATTACAGTGAAGCAGGATTTTGATTGATGTCAGTGAAACTTCAAGTCCCAGTGAAATAGCTGTGTTATTCCCATGGAAACAGAATGCAAAGGCACAGGGTGCTCCAGCTGTTGCGTGCTTGAGGGAGACATGGGAAGTTTCCGTCACCACAGGATTCTTGAGTGACTGATTCACCTAAAATAAGTCTATAGATAATAATGCACTACTTGACAGTCAAATCTGAGCTAGCTTTAAAGGTGGCAAGACACAGAAGAGCTATCCCAGTGTGGGACTCAGCTATTTTGCTCACTTTCCTTAGAGAGAAGGCAAACTGACTCATGATGAGGGCTGAACCAGAAAAATCGTTTGAACTTTTAGGCTGCTCAGATGTCACATGGATAGGGATCAGACAAGAAAGTCAAGACTGGAAGAGATAAGAATCTGGCCTTTTACTTCTAACAGGAGCCAAAGCAATGAAAAGTACTCTCTTCAAAACTTACCTTTGGCCCTTCTCTACCAGGGATGCCTGGAGGTCCTCTTGTGCCAGGATCACCCTGCGGAACAGACAGAAAACCAAGTGACAAATAACCATTTTTGTTACATAGATCTGATCCATGCAGACCAATTTATAGAGACTGTTTCCTTCCTGCCTTTCTGACCTTCCCTTCATTTTACCCCAAAGCCTTCTCTTCAGTCCTTGCTCTCTTCTAAGCAATATACTTGTTCTGAGAGTCTTCCTTGTTTCTCCCCCATCTCTCAAACCCTGTTAACACATTTTTTACTTCATTTTAGATAGTCCCAGACACACCTGTGTTTAGGTTTGAGCACTCCAAATTTCATTATTTTTCAAAATAATATCTTAGAAATTCTAGACTATTTTCCCTATTTGGTATATTACTGAAATTAATGCTAAAAAGCAAAAGTGGAGAACGAGGTATATTTGTTGCAATTCATTCTGTGTATTGGATGTGTTGGACAGGCACTTGCTGGCTACTACCTCACACACTATTTGGCAAAATTCCTATAGAATACAAACCTCGCTTATTTTTAGAAAACAAATCAAAAATCTACAAAAATCACAAAATTATTTTAGGCTAGCCCTGTGGGTCAGAATTGAACCTACAGAAACTTTTAAATGCATATTTTGGTTTAAAAAGCACGTTTATAACAAAGAACTATATCTAACCTCTAAAAATATTTACCTTCAGTATGGCACCCATGTCTCCCACAAGTGGCAGTGCAATCTGAAATTAAAAAAGCAGATGCAGTTAGTATTTTACACATTACTAATTATGATGTGTTCTCATTATTTCTAAAGTTTATATTGTTACAAAGAGAGCTGACTATATATATATATATTGGTTGAAGCTATCTTTTAAATGAAAACTCAAAATTAAAACAAGGGTTTCAAATATAGTTAAATATCGCTGCCTATCCAACCTCACAATTATAATTTTTTGTTACATTTTAAAGAACTTTCTTAAACCATGACAACAGCATAACTCCAGAACATACTAATATTGTTGGTTTTGTTGCATATCAGCAACTACTTAACACAACTGAAAAGTGTCACAGACTATTCTCACTTGATTATCTTCAATTGTTTTCCTTCCCCTTTCTCCTAGGCTTTGACTCTACCATCAGCTGCAGCACAAATTCTGGAGATGCCAAAGATAACTTCCATAAATTAGTTCAGATACCGAAAATAATCCAGCTACAGCAACAAGAGCATTTTTCCTGTCTTTAAACATTAAGAATTAGTGCGTAACTCTGTGGTGCCAGCGCTAAATTGGCTACTAAAGCTAACCCATTTAAAGATCAATCAATAAGACTACACTTACTGCAGCATGTCTCAGATTTTCAAGACCTGCCATTAAACTCATATTTAAAGATTCCCTGAAAAAACTCATTGCCCTTGTTATCATAGCTTCACTCACAGTCTCCAATTACCAATGCTGTTTTCTTCTGGCAATTGCTAAATAAAAAATTGCCCTGGGCATACTATAAAATTAGGCATATTCAAAATATGTTAACTGGTTTTGTTCAGTCTGTTTCAATCATTTCCATCTTGAAAAACAAAACGTAAGCACTTTTGTAGCATATTAGAAAAACTGCCAGTTAATAGTAATGGGTTTAAAACTTCAACTCAGGAGACACACTGCTGAACATACTTAACCACAAACATAGTTAAGAGTACACCACTAAGAGGGTAGCACTCCAAACTTTGAAAGCAGGCTGATGAGTTTTCTAGAGTGAGACATCGCCACCTAACACAACCTAAGGACATAACTAGGTAAGGTGTGAAGTTCATCCTCTGCACAGAGGTAAACTGCATATAGACAGTATCACCTGCTCTTAAAAACCTGTAACAAGACTTTAAAACAACTACCACATGCTTTTCTTCCTTCCCCTTATGATGAAATTTTACAGCTAGTCAGGCTATTACAATGTTACTTGGTCTTCCTGCTGGACTAGAGAATTGTAATTTCCCCAGGCTCTCCTCTTTTCTAGCATTCTTATTTTAGCTGTAATATCACTTTATGGTACAGAACCCCAAAGCCTTAGTGCGGAAGGTGCCAATATCCAGCTGCAAGAGCACATGAGGTACAAGAGTAAGCCTACCATGTTTGTGCCATACAGCTCCTCTGCTCCCTATGTATGGCAAGTCCAGTCCAACTGCACACACACTTAAGTCATAACTCTGTGTGCCAAACTCTAAGTGTATGATACATAGCAGGATTTTGAAAATGTTAAAATGGCCTTAATTCTCCAGAATCACTCTTGCTTGCTACATCTTCCTTTAAAAAATGTTCTTTCCAAAGAGAAGAGTATTTCAAAACAGCAAAAGGCAATAATGCTCCTATTAGTTTTATAATTTAGACCTGTCTATTTAATAGCAGCATCAAATATTTTACTTACATTTAGTTTACAATGCACTGTACCAATTTCAGAGTTTTTATCTACTTACCCTAATAAAATTAAATCACTGACAAGAACTGAGCATGGGAAAGACCTCTCTTTCCAAGTTTGACAGTTCTGCTGATAGATATTCCGATCCATAATTTTTGATAAGCATCAACTACATGGCAAGTAATTCTAAGCATTTTTTGCTTGCTTACAAAAACATAATGAAGACAGTCTCAAAGTTTTATTGAGGCAAAGGTATGTAACATGACTGTTTTCCTGTCTTTCCCAAGAAAGTATTTCCACTTTGTCATTCATATCACCAGTTCTTCTAGACTTATTATGGTATTCACCTCCTTTAAATTTAAAATACTTGCACCAAAACAAATGCACAAACTTTCTCTCTATACGTACAGGATCACCTGGAGGGCCTGGTAGTCCTGGTTTTCCATCTCTTCCTGGAGTGCCCTAGAAACAAATGTAAAAATTGATGGCCTTTAATCATTGATGAGGCACACATTACTTTTTGTTGCATATATAGAAAACTGTCACTTACATTAATACCAGGAGTACCTGGAGTTCCTGGTAACCCTGGCGGTCCCCTAGGGCCCTAAGAGCAGGAAAGGTAATTTAGGACATAAAAATACTTTTCCTGTAAAATTCTTAAATTAAATTAATGCTTTTTATATTAAAGACAAAACTTATACCCTACCTGCACACCTGTTGATCCAGTTGGACCTATAGGACCCTGCAAGAAAACTCCAAATAATCAGTAGTTACACTTTCTAGGATAAGGGAGATGAACTCCATTAAAAAATATTGAATGTGGGATATAGCTGCAGTTTTCATTGTGAGAAAGACTTGCTCTAAGGTTTGGCTTTAAATCCAAATGTAATTTTGTCAAAATTACAGAATTCAAGACTTTGCTAAGGCCCATTTTTAAGGGCAAGGAACTTCAAAAATTAATGATTTGTGGTGAAACTTGTTATTTAGCCAGGAGATTCCTAAGAAAAGCTAATGAGCAGTTGAATAAAAACAAATTAGATTATTTAGATATAAATGGATAATTTTTAAAATTCAGATTTGAAAATATTTTAACTGAAAAGATATTTTTAAGGATTATTTTAGATGAAGAACTCACTGTGAATCTCTATTTACCTTTCACAAACATTTTCTCTCTGTACCAGAGTACTGTCCATAAACTGGAATGTATCAGCTGATACAGTTCTTCAGTTGGACTGAAGAGAGCTTGTCTTATTCACTGGAGTAGAACTCATGTACCACCCAACATCTACGCCATCAATATCAGCAAATTTTTTTACTGAAGACACTGCAGAGGGCTTTATTTAAAGGCAACAGAAAGAAAGAAACTTGGGGAACAAGCTGAATAACTGAAACAGTTATTGCTCTACAAGTTATTTAGTATGAATGCTTTAGATAGGCTGTATTAACTTGCTTCATGTTCGAACTTAAACCACACAGCCACATGTGAAACAAGCTGGGAGTTGGGAGTCAAGTCAGAAGGGAGTTCACAGCATGGCTGTTTACTACACTTAGTTTGCTTACTGCAGTTTCACAGAGATGCACAGCGAGAAGCCCAAATTCTGGGCATTGGTATACTTACTGGTGATCCCTGAATGCCTATTCCAGGGGGCCCCATCTCCCCAGGTGCTCCCTGTACACCAGGTAGTCCTCTTTCTCCCTGTGAAAGGTATAAGGCTGTCCATTACAATAGGTCTGAAAATGCAAACTACCATTTTAAATTTTTTTTTATTTTTTATTTTTTACTTTTTTGAAACAGAAATAATCTATTTTGTATACCTTTGGTCCCCGTGGACCTGGGTTTCCAGGAACACCAGTGGGACCCTAAAAAGACCAAAACAAAACAAAAAACAGGAAAAAAAACAAATTATGTTTTAAAATCCAAGAGACTAGATGAATTTTATTGCCAAAATTAGTTATCCTTCAGAAATAAACTGTGAAAAATTTCCATGTCTTCCTTGTTAATACCACTGTCATTAGGAGTATGTGTGAGTCTTGTGCTATTTTCAGACTATATTTTAGTGCACTTATAATATGTATGCACTGTAATATATATTTCCATTTTGAAATTACATTAAAAAAACACTTGCTTTGTGGCTTTAAACTGAGAGTAGATGAGATATTAGAAAGAAATTCTTTACTATGAGGATGATGAGGCACTGGAACAGGTTGCCCATAGAAGTTGTGGCTACCCCATTCCTGGAAGTGTTCAAGGCCAGGTTGGATGGGGCTTTGAGCAATCTGGTCTAGAGGAAGGTGTCCCTACTGATGATAGTGGGTTGGGACCAGATGATCTTTAAGGTCCCTTCCAACCCAAACCATTCTATGATTCTATGGTTTCTTTCATCACACAGTGACAATTGTTTAACAGTTGCCCCCAAGAAATAAAGTCGGAAAAGTTTTTTCAGATTATGAGCTTACTGGTGTTCCAGGCAGACTTGGTCCAGGAGGCCCCATATCACCTTTTGGACCTGGATGTCCAGGTGGTCCCATAATCCCACCAGGGTCACCCTACAAAATAAATTTGAATCGCTAATTGAAATGTGAGAATTTTCTCCTATGAAAAAAACTGTAAATATTACCAAGGTTATTATTGAATGTGTCAGTATTTGAGAATAAATAGAGAAGAAAAAAAAGCACTGATATTTTCCTTCAAGAAGTTACAGAAGAAGAGGAGGCATGGACTACACAACCATCAATTGTAACAAGCATCGTCTTGATTTTCCATGCTTGCAATGCAACTGATCTACATTTCGTGGTCCCCAGGCCCCTCTACACAGGTTTTCATTAAACCCTGACAGTTAATTCACAGCAACAGGTTTCCACCTGTTTCCACCAACTGCAATCTCTCCCCAGCTGTCTACCACTAGTGCTAAACCCAGGGTCCTCACTGTACTCCTGTTTACACTTCTACTTCTTACATCAGTGCATGCAGTGCCTCTTGTTCCACACCTCTAACTCCTGCTGCTTACTTGGGCTTTATATTATGCTGTCCTTTTGTCTTTTGCATGCTCTTGCAACATTTCTGTGATTTTTTCTGAATCCACTACTTCCCATTTTATGAGGTGAGTAGATTTTTGTTCCAGTTATTTTCTTCTGTCTTCTAGCTCACTTTTTCAAACTATTAATGGATTTTATTAGTTTCTCTTGTACTCCACAATGTATAAATACCATAACACATCACATAGCTCAGAGCACACCTGTGTATCCTCTTTTCTCCCCTTCTCTACATTCAATACATACACACATACAATTTTTAGCTATTGCTGATGTATCTGAATTCTAAGGGATTTGTACACAGTAAAATACAATGTCATAAAGAGACACAGCCTTGGTTTACATCTGAGACAGTGTAGTTGCCCCAGTGCTCTGCCAAGATGAATATGTCTGACTGTGAAGTGGGATTTTACACATTAGTCCAGGTAGGGCACTACACTGAAATGGGTTTCTGTAGTCAGGACCTGCACTGGTATTTCTGCACTGCACAGGTTCAATGTAAGGGTGCAGTGCAACCTTCTTGAAATGTTACTTAAATTATAAATCTGAAGAGAAACTGGGTTGCCAAACTGGCCTGCAGCATCTTCAAGAAGCAGACAGGAGGTTGCTGCTGGTACATTTTAAAATCAATTCATACAGCAGCCACACAGATGCACCACAAAAGGATGGAAGGTTACTTCTGAGGTGATAATTTAATATGCTCTAACATATCAAGCTTAATTAAAAACACTTAAAAAAATACCTTGTCTCCTTTAACTCCTGGGTTTCCTGGTACCCCATGCTCTCCTGGTAAGCCCTGGAATTAATAAAAACATAACTGTACATTTTTATAGCTATTCCCTTAAAGGTTATTTAAAATTACAGACAAAAACTAGTTTACACTGGATTATTTATTATGCATTAGTATTGACACCAAATGTTAAAGAGTATAAGTTAATGAATGCTTTTTTAATTAAAGATATGAATAATTTTTCTTTTAATTGAAATGCAGTAATGAAGATTATTTTCTGGACCCTCTCAGGGCAGAGTGGCAGAGACTGAAAGGTTTATTTCTTCTATTTCAAAAGTCTTGAAAAATCAATAATTTTTTCAAAGAGGGCAGTAGCACATAAAACTTGAGTTTTAAATAATTGTCTCATCTTTTCTCCCCATAAAGGTCTGCATGATTCCCTACACCAGTTAATTATTCAAATTGGTATCTTAAAAACTTCAATGAACTCCCACCCCTGCACATTATTTAATCAAAAAAATTCCTTTAAAATGCTTTAGATATTTAATGGACAGTCAAAAATTTTCAGCAAATAAAATATGTTCCACCCTTTCTTTTTCCTAAGTATTTTCATCTTTTACATTTTGATTTTAACTTCAGTATTTTCCCTTTTCTTTTTCATTGAGGATTTTTATAAATGCAGAGAAATAAAAAAGATTAAAACCTAAATAGAAACTATTTAAATAATAAGGAAGGCTTAATTGGGTTCTCTTATTATGCTGTAACAAATACAGAAAACTTTTTCCATGACCCTTCAATGTTATTCAATCGTTTAGTCAAGTGTTTTATTAATACCAGTAATTTTCACAGTAAGAGATAAAATTGCCCAATCTGAAAAGTAAAATCCAAGTCTGAAACTTAAGCTGGACTAGAAAATGAACTTTCTAAGAAAAAGACAAAGAAATTCATATTGTTTTAATTTTTCTTCAGAGTGTAAAACACAGCTTTTTGAACACTGACATATGAAGGATGACAACATTTTCATGCCAGTAGTGAAGGTGCAAGAGCTGTGTGTTTCCTTTCTCTGCTTAATACAGACAGCTACTTGTTTCACCCAACCATCCAAATTAAAAGCATAAGAAAGAAAAAAAGGTACCCTTATGAAGGACATTCTGCTTACACCAAGACCAAATCAGTATAAAAATATATGGAATTTTAAATTTACTGATTATGGATTAGACATCATGGTCTACTCTATCCCCAACTCTTCTACAATTCTTTTTTTTTTCTTTTTTTTGTTGGACAAAGCTTGAGGGATTTCTTAGGAAAAGAAAAGACGTAAGTCTTACATGCTGGATGACTCTTTGATGATGTAAGTGAAAGTAAAACAATTTTCAACCTTTCACAATTTTCATTATACCACATAAAATTGTTGCATATATTTGTTAATCCATAATGTTTAATCTTTAGAAGACAAAACAAAACAACAAGACTAGAGATAAACACGTCTCTATAATATATTTAAATATGTTTTCACATATTAGAATTGTATGTACAAATATGAGTCTTCAAAATCGTCTGTATCTATGATCTACATACATTATATCCAGTATTTATCTGTTCAAAATGCCACTTGATCAAAGATCTATCAGAACAGCAGTTTCAAAAGCAGCAATTATGAACTCAAGTGGGATGGTGGCAACACAAGCAAGAGAGAAATGCAGTATGTAGTTATCTTTCACAGTAGGATTGGAGATCTATACATAAATAGAAGCACACCAGATGAGGCTTACAAACTACTGTATAGATGATACGTACATTAGACACAATTGAAAAAATGTGTGCCTAAACTGAGTAGGAAAATCAGGTATAAAGAAATGGTCAGTAAGTAAGCCAGTAGAAAATAACTAACTGAAGATTTGAATACTAGTATTTCTATCCTCTGCCACGAGCTGAAGATGTTGTACTCCAGTTGTCACTTTGCTTACATACCTTAGACTTTTTACAGGTCAAACATAAAAAGTCTGCCAGCTGTGTATCACTTAGAATGGTATTCTAATATTAAAAAAGCATATGACATAAAAGTCTGTTCAAAAAAAGAGTTCTCTTCAACAAAGTAGTCTCAAAGCATGCTTGGAAAGGCCCAAGACAAAATGCAACAACACCAGCACCTAGGTGCTTCTGTTGGGAGCTTCTGTTCTGCTAGGCTAAACCTAAGCTCTCCATTGCCTGCTTTTTTTGATCCAGTTCTTGGATATAACCACTCAAATCTCCAAAATGCTACTTAAAAGCCATTTTATGGTTTATGGAGGAAGGCAGGTGCAAGAACCAAGAAGACGGGGTAGGTGCCACTTGTTAGGTTATGTGACACCACAAGTGTTGTGGACTGAAACCTAATTTCAGTTTATATGGGGGATTAGGCAGAACATAGGTGCCTGCACACCTAAAGAGGGATTGTGCTATAATTTGGAAGAGAGACAGGCAGCCACCTCCCCAGAAGAGGCTTCTGCTATATTACGGTGTTCAGTCAAATGCACAGGGAACTTTCAAGTCTACTGTAATGGTGCTTAATAGTTCAAGACGTTTCCTAGAGAATCCAGACTGGATTAACATTTCACCCATGCTCTTCCTGCCCAGAGGCACAAGTGTTACAGGTGTTCTGGATCTTCAGGGAGGTGCCTACCAGTTTAAGAAATCTCAACCAGCCAGCAGACCCCACCAGCCTGTTCCCCAGTGGCATAATGGTTACAATTACACTAAAATGCCCATGAAGGATACCCTTATCACCTTGACAAACCTCAATCCATTGGTAGACCTGAATGTGGGACACCCAAAAGCATAATAACTACAGAAACATTCAGATTCTGCTGAGACATATCACTGTTTGACATTCCCAACCCACCAGTTTTGCACTCAGACATAAAGGTTAAGGGCACACTGAATCTCTGGTGAGCCTTAGCCAGTTGTACCTGCGGCTGGTAACTGTGAGAAGCTGCACAAGACAAACCAAGACAACTTGCTGCCCAGCTGTCCTGGCCAAGCAACAATCTCCCTGCTGAAAAGGGAGGTCAGGATATAATGCTAACATGGGAATGAGCAAGAGATAATCAGGAAGGGTAAAAGACCTCAATTCGGTGGTTCTTAATAAATCCCAATATCCAGATCCACTTCAGGCTGTCAAATGGTGTCAGAAGCAGGATATAGATGGTTTATTGAAACTCGAGATTAAAGGCCTGTTGAGGGAGGCATTCCATCTGATTGTGCTTCAACCCATCATTGCTATAGTACCACCCACGAAAGGAGCACCTATTATAACTTCTGTGGTACTGTTCCACTGGCTAACTGTTCACACACCACACTGCTACAGCTTGGTGAAACTGCACAATACATACAACTTCTCCTGGCAGTCCCCTGGGTCCGACAGGTCCTGGAGGGCCTTGCAGTCCCTGTGAAATGATATAATACAGGGAAAAGTCAATACACTACTGTAATTTGGTGTAAAGCATACTTATATATAAATAGATTAAAACATCTGGCATTAAGAATTATCTTCCACATGAAGTAAGAAGTAGAGTTTGCTCATTCTCCCTTACTCTAATGTTCAATAAATCTTGGGGACTGATATGTACAAAACCTAAAGTATTTATACAAAGCAAATACAAGTCAATACCAAGGCAATACCTAAAGGGTCAGACAGAATAAAAGAATAAATCAAGATTTCAAGAATCATTTTTAAGACAACAGTTTTGTGGATTCTATAACTACATCCATTATCATTGGGCTTTCTTTTGATGTTCTAAAATTTGTGTATTATCATATCTAACATGAATAGTGTTGGGTGGAGGTTACATTTTAACAGTTTCCAATTCTACCTTTCTTTGATACAAGGCATCATGAGAGACTCTCAAGAACATTTGTGCTTCAGCTACTTTCCTCACAGAATCACACAATCACGGAATGAGTAAGATTGGAAGGCATCACAGCGGGTCATCTGGTCCAACCTCCCTGCTCAAGCAGGGTGATCCTAGAGCACATGGCACACTTTCTTGAGTATCTCCAGTGAGGGATACCCCACAACCTCTCTGGCAATCTTGTTCCAGTCCTCGGTCACCCACATAGTAAAGAAATTCTTTCTCATACTCAGGTGGAGCTTCCTGTGCATCAGTTCCTGCCCATTGCCTCTTGTCCTGTTGGTTGGCACCACCAAGAAGAGCCTGGATATATCTTTTTGACACCCTTCCTTCAGATACTTATACAAATTGATGAAGACCCCTCTCAGTCGTTTCTTCTCGAGGCCGAACAGGCCCAGCTCCCTTAGCCTTTCCTTGTAAGAGAGATGCTCCAGTTTCTTATTCATCTTTGTTGTCCTCCACTGGACCCACTCCTGGAGCTCCATGTCTCTCTTGTAGAGAGACTGACTAGCCCAGAACTGGGCACAGCACTCCAGATTTGCCTCACTAGGGCTGAGTAGAGGGGCAGGATTACCTCCCTTGACCTGCTGACAATGCTGTTCCTAATGCACCCCAGGATACCGCTGGCCTTCTTGGCCACAAGGGCACACTGCTGGATCATGGACAGCTTGTTGTCTGCCAGGAGGACTCCCAGGTCCTTCTCTGCAGAGCTGCTTTCCTGCAGGTCAGCCTCCAGCCTGTATCGGTACATGGGGTTCTTCCTTCCCCAGGTGCAGGACCCTGACTTCGCCTTTGTTGAGTATCAGACAGTTCTTCTCTACCCACCTCTCCAACCTTTTGAGATCCTTGTGAAGAGCTGCACAGCACCTTGGGGCATCAACTGCTCCTCCCAGCTTCGTGTCATCAGCAAACTTGCTGAGGAGGCAGCTACCCCTTCATCAAAGTCATTGATGAATAAGTTAATACTGGGCCCAGTATTGAACCTTGGGAGACACCACTAGTGAGAGGCCTCCATCTACACCCTGTGCTACTGATCATGACCTTCTGGGATCTGCTGTTCAGCCAGCTCTCAATCCACCTCACTGTCCAGTACACAGTTCCGGAGTTTGCCTATGAGGATAGACTCAAAGCAAGGCAATGACTGGTTTGACATCACCTACAGTCTCATAAGATTAAACAGAGGAACAGGTAAGTAGTAGTGGCAGTGGTTACTCCTTGCCTCACTGATGGATAAAGAGAATATACCCAGCTACCAGTGGATTTGTAATTGCAAAATGGGTGCTCATAATCTTGAGTGACCAAATAACATTTGAGCTTTGCTTAAATATTCCTGAATGATGCTGAGATCAACATAACTTTATGTAAAATGCAAATCTTATGTAAAATAGCCATAATCCAAGCACAACCTTTTGATATAAACTATTTGCACTCTCTGTCCTTTAATACTAGCTAAGGAGTTGATAGCATTCAGTCCTCTTATATAACAGCATAGAATGCACTTGCTGTTAATAACACAAAAATACCTTTCACCTACCTTTGATCCTGGATTTCCGATAAGACCAGGTGGTCCAGGGTCTCCCACTTCACCCTAATGACATTGTTTGAGAAAACAAAAAAATCCAAGGTTACTGTTATATCTTCCAGTATCAGCTATGTGTATCAGCAATGTATGTAGTGTGCACAAGTCAGAAAATACCTTATTTCCTTTTGATCCCTGCATTCCAGTCTCTCCCTGAAAACATTAGATAGAACCATAAGAAGTTAAAACTTAAACTAAGATCAGCTAAGAGTTTAATATGCTACTTAAAATATTGTAACACATTTTATAAACTTAAATATTGAGAAAGCATTAAAGAATTTCTGATTTTTTTCTGCAAACTCTGAAAGGCATTCCTCTTTCAAACTAATTTTTTTTCAGGTTTTCCTAATGTTTTAAAGCAAAACATGTTTGAAAATACTACATTTGCATAAGAGCTTTTCCAGTCAAAAGCCTATTCTTCACAATGAAATCTCTTCTGGTACACAATATTCATCTCCAAACCCACACATTATTGCAGTAAGGCTTATTTTGGTTATTATAACATGTAAATCACAAAAATCTAAGCAACCTTGAGTTGTGTATTAAAAAACACAACTAGCTTTTGTCAAATGTCATAAGAGGGGACAATAATTACTTAAAAATAAGTAACATAGGTAAACAGAATGAGGGTTCTAAAAATATGCCCCAAAATAACAAAGAAGTTACGCACACATAAAATGACTATATCAAATCTGCCTGATGTTAAATGCCACACTAAGGGCATAAAAATAATACAGTTCAGGCCACAAAAAAATTTGTGAAATAACTGAAAGAGAGAACCTCCACATAAAATAAAAAAAGGTGTGTGCTTTAAACTCAGTTTATGGACTGTACCAACAACAGAAATGGTGAAGAACTGGGCATCTCTGTTTTTTATTTATAACCTGTGTAAGACAGGAGACAAAATATATGCTATCCCACATAATCCCTGAATCTAATGAACATGTACAAAGACAAGGAATTACAGCATGAATATGGTATGGAAATAATCTTGAATGTAAATTATTCACATCAGTTCAAAACATGCTATACTTACTGGATCTCCCTTGTCCCCTTTTTCAGAAGGCTCTCCCTAAGGAAACACAGGGAAGAGGTTAACACAGTTTTTTTTTAAAAATGGTAAATAGTTCATATGCCTGGTTTTGTTGAAGAGTCCTTGAAAAATATTGCATTTTTTAAACCTATATACAATACAAATATATGGACTACAAAAATTTACTTGAAGGATGATGTTGATTTAATGCCAAGACCATGGCAGGTGTTATCCTTTCAAGCAGGAGTACAAGGGAGGGTCAGGAACGTGAACTAAAGAGAGTGATAATGCATCCAAAACTGAAAAATTGCCAAACTCAAGTGCTCTATAGCACACAAAATCATAAATCTGTGATATCAACAGAGTAAAAAAATGTTTCTGCTTGTATGAAAACTATTTGTATAGAAAGACATGACCAAAGAAACCAACTGGAAGCCTAACAGCTGAATAGCAAAATGCCTAATAATCAGTAGATGAAGAACTGGGTATACAGATGAAGAACACATTCCTAGAAAAGCAAAATATACACCTGTTCCCCAATAATGCCCCACTTTCCCCCCCAGTCATTCTGGAAAATTTATTCTCAAACTAAAAGATACTAAATTAGAAGGTTTATTTCTAAATTTTAATAATTTAAAGACTTATGTTTTCTCATAGAGATATTGAAGATCACATTCATAACCTGAAAAAATGTGAATGGTGCCTAATTTATGAGGCAGTCTTTGGTCATAAACTTATATAAACAATTTTAAACTGGTATTCAGTGAAAGTCTGAATGTGTTTAAAACTAAGGACTTTGTGAACTGCTAGAACAGGGAAATTTACTTGCATATATAAATACCCACACAAGGAGGTGCTTGAATAAATACAGATATTTAGAGAATGACAACTTTCCTATGCCCAAATACATTTTCTTGATCTCTTGTATATTTTCCAAGATTTCACTAATAATCAGTATATTTAGTTAACTTCTAGCATAACACACGAGCACAGAAGTAAAGAATTAACTTACCTTTTCTCCTTTTGCACCTGTCATTCCCAATTCTCCTTTCTGACCCTTTTAACAAAATTAATTAATTTTAAAATTTTTTATATTCTGACAAATGCAGATAAACCTCTCTCCTTCTTTACCTGTACTTTGTTCTATGTAAGCCACATCTTAACCATTATTGCAATGGAAATCAAGCTTTAAACATGTGCAAATGAATCTAAATGACTGTATTCTATAGCAGATCTGCAGGCTTCTCCCTAAAAAATGTTGTTAATTCTGTGACATATCCAGAGCACTTGTCTCTTCTCTCACAAGTTTGGAACACACGCAATTGTTAAAAAATCATTCCACTGTTTACACAGGACAGATGACTATAAACAACATACTGTCATATAGTGTAGATTCAGAATTTGACTTCCATGCAATATTTAGAGGCTGTCTATAAGTATTCTTGGTATAGAAAGTCCTATTGTTGCAGAGAAACTGCTTTAAATATTCATGATTTACTATTCAAAATATTTTTCAAATTTCAACTTTTTCAGAGTCTTTTCCACATAGCAGGCAGGTCAGCTCATTTGACTTCTCAGACAGCATTATGGAAACCACACACAGTCCTTTCAGCATTTTTCCTTTCTGTTTATACTAGAGGACAAAGGATCACGTGCTGCTCCTGCAGGACAGCACGATGAGCTGGATATTGGACTACACAGTTCAAAGTGCCAATCATTTCTAAAATCTATTCCTTCAAAGCCTGTTGTGATAAATCAAATAAAAGATACTATGTTAAGTGTGGCAGAGACAGGTTAGATAGGCACTGTGAAATTTCTCCAAGTTCATGTCAAATGCTTACAACATCTCCCTTCTGGCCTTTAAGTCCAGGGGTCCCAAGTACTCCTAGTAGTCTTGTATCACTCTGGAAAGAAATAGTATCACAAAGATCAAAAAACAGAAAATGTCACCATTCACTTACAGTAACAATTTATTTACCATAACAATTTCTTGTAATTTACCAATATTCAGAAGTCCTAATGTATTACTAGAAAGGGATAACAAATGCCTATGCAGTACAGCTAGGTAATGTATTTGAGCAACCAGCCAGACTAGCAGAACATGAATAAAAGCATAAAAGGGAAATGTCTTTGTTGAACATTGCTGTGCAAATATGTGACTTTTTTTAAAAAACTCAATACAAAGTACATATTTTTATGCTCATTGTTACAGCACATTCCTCAAGTATGTTAAAAAAGAATAAAATCCACTTCTCTCCTATGAAAAAACCACAAGCTTTTTACTTTTGAGCAGCATGAAATGCAAAAGAATGTAGAACTAATTTAAGTCTACTACAGCAGTGAGCCAGAAGGAGTGGGAATAAACATGGTCAACAGGCTCCTCACATTGCTCCTCAAAGAAAATAGACAGATTTAAGGACCAGAGGTTCGGGTTGTATATGTGCTCAGGTGTTTACTGCACTGCATTTATTTACTCTTCTCTACAAGACACAATAAAATACAAAGCAAATTATTTCCTTTTCACAAAGCCAGACTCGGACTACCTATGGGGAATGTGTTTTCTTTTAATGACAATGGGAAAAGAAACAACAACAACAACAAAAAAAGATCCTGAAAAATGAACACCCATCTAGACCCAAGGAATCTAAGCCCTAGAACATGTATCACCCTTAGCAGGCCATATTCCAGTTTCCATATCTCTAAAATAGAGAAACATCATGATGAATAGAAGTGCCATTTGCACTCTGCTAATATTTTCAGAAGTAGGTAACTGAATATAAACTGAATAAAATCAGTTTAATAAAATCATTATTATTTTAGAAATGCTAGTGTTATGGTGGATTTTCTTAGGTATTTAGGGTTTGTAAACACTCTTGGTACACTAATTATCAAAATCAGCTTCAGAGCCAGAGGCAGATACCCAGATAAAGGAACCTGGGTATTGTTGAGAAGTAGTTGACTACCATTGGACTGAGCACAATCAGGTGTCTGTTATAATGAGTATACTAAAAATTATGATTTATACTTAGTTGTGCATTTCTTATGCATACATGGAGAAAAAAAAGAGGCTATTAGACTAAATAACTGCTTCTATGGTCTTTGCATATTTATAGGTAATTTGCTCCTTACAACAAAATTTAAGTAAAATACAGTAAAGCAAAAAAAATTTTAGAAAATTAATAATTAATAATTCCAGAATAATCTAAAATTACTGTGAATTATAATTATTCTAAAACATTTCTTGGAAAGACTGTGATACAGTTTCAATTTCTTTGTGTTTTGGTTTCATTTTTATTTTTATGTGTTGTAGAACATTTTAGATTCAACTGATGTTTAGAAGCAAGTTTGACTAAGTGACCTTCTATTTATGTGTGGGAAACTGATAAGTAAAAAAGATGACAGGGGCCCTGAAAGCCCAGGCAAAGGATGATAACAGAGGCCTGAGGGTAAACAAACTCAAATCATGAGGCATTGTTTACCAATCACTGAAGGAATGTAACCTGCAGTACAGGATAGGACTAGTTTCTTGGCAAAAAGAAGAGGAAAAAAATGCATGTATTGAATACATGCAAAGCACCTTGTTTACGCTGAAAGCACAACAGACATAACAAGAAGGAACATAAAAATAGTCACATGCCTTGCAAGAACAGGCACAAAGGAGGAATGAGGGAAGAAAGTCTCCGGCACTGTCTCCCAGCCCATTAAGGATCAATGCTCCTACTTATCCTCAGCAGGTTCCCCTCGCCTTCATTAAAGAAAGATTGCTGATCTTGGTTTGCTGTTCATCACAATTTGCTGCTGCGATCAGCAATTGTATTTAAAGTGCTCTCTTTCACTGTATACATGGATCAAGTATATTATGCTTTTAAAGACTTGCACTCCAGCCTCCTAGCACAATAAAGTGATTGATACTGAGCCAGAAGAACCTTGGTTGCAACAAATTATTTAATTACATCATGCAAAAACAACTACTTCTTGATATCATACAGAACTCAGAAGAACAGCAAATAATCTGCTAAGAAACAGAGAAATTAGAGGAAAAAAAAGAGACATTATTAATTATGATGGGTCTTAAGAGTCACCACATTTCTTGGTAGAAGTTTCTCATGCTTCCTGAAAATACCAACACAAAGAAGCCAACTAACATCCTCAGGGAAAAAAAAAGGTATTAAGATATCTATAGCAACCAAAATGTGGTCACAATATGAACACTTTTAAACACCAAACTGAAAGAAGACCTTATGAGATCCTTAAGAACATTCATAAAGTGATGGAAAATGACAAGATCATTTCCTGTGCTGTGAGGAATCTCAGAAATCTCAGGGTATCACTCAAATATCATTTTACCAATGCAAATTACTGAGGCAATTATATACTGGAATTATATACTGGAAATGCAAAAAATTGTTTGGTGCCTCCAAGGTGCAGTGGACAAAATCAGCTCTTGCCATACTATATAATAGTGTGGGGGGAGAAAGGGAAGTTACTGGTGCATACATCTGCATGAATCAATGGCAAAGCAGAGAAACTGTCCTTGTCTTTGATGACTTTTTGTCTTGTCCTTGATGGAAACATCCTACTCCCATCATAAAATGTATAGGAATTAATATGTTTGCTGAAGCAGTTAGAGACTTATTTTGACTCCAGGAGGTTCTGAACACATAGTTACAGAAATGTTGCATATTTAGAACCTGTTGCTTGAATCAGAAAGCCATCTCCTCTTTCACCAGGAATCAAACAGCATTTCCTTGTTGAACAGTTAATTGCTTGTGACAGAGTCATTAAAGTCTTCAAACTAGACAGCTGAAGGAAGAAAAGTTGTTAAGGTGCACAGGATTTAAAAGACAATTAATTTATAGACACGTAGCAGCTGGTCTAACTTTTTTTCCAGAATATTCAATTAGGAAATATAAGCCACCTTACAAACACTTAGAGCCTTACAGTGATAAGAAAAAAAATTTTTTTTTTTTTTGAGACACCTGCTTATCAGTTCCAGAAGGTCGCCACTGCTTGTATTTCCTCTTGCAAAATTACCTTAAAGGTACTATCAGGATAAAACAAATTCATAGTGCAGAGTTCGGGAATGAGTTACAATAAATATGGTATTGATAGAGGAAACAGGGCTGGTATCAGCAAAAGCTCTTTGGTGGAAAAAATTAACTGGTAAGAAAACCAAAGGTGTAAAATTAAAATACAGAAAACTTCAACACATACATTTGAAATGGCAAACCAAAACCAGAAACTAAGTCTCCAGGCATGAAAATGCCCCATGCTTAATTCCTAATGCAAGTTTCTAAGGTGATACACTGATTTGAAATGAATTAAATATCAGAAATAAGAGAGAAATCACTTCAGTCATAAAAACAACTGAAAAGATATATTTGACATGAACTTAGCTCCAAAATATCTATCCAAGAAAAGATTTCAGTATTTGTCTAGAAATGTTGTATAGGAGAATACCCTGAATTCACCTGCTCTTCATAGTTATACATTCTAATATTTAAAGAAATATTAGATGGATGTCTTCCAGGCTTGACCTTCATGACTTAAGGTGTGATACACACATTAGCCTTTATATTGAACAAATATTGCTGTAGTAGTGTTTCATAAGTCTTTCAATTAAACAGAATTTTCTGATCAGATAAGTTAACTACTCTAGCATCAATTAAGCAAACCGCTGTGATCTCTGAATTATGGTTTCTTACAACGGCAGACACTACAACTTTGAAATATCTGTAGTATGTATTTCAAAGCTCTGCCATGTGGAACGCCATCCTATCCAATTTTAATTTTTTTTTTCTATTAAGTGGTTTTAGCTGCAGGTGGTTTTGTAATTAAGACTATTTTTATGAGTCTATAATACAAACATAAGGACAGTTCTCATGGATTGCTAGCAGATCTTTTAAAAATTATGCCTTGTCTTTCTATTTTACTCTTAGAATCATGACAGAGCAGGTCAAGAATGTAATGTCAAGTACAACTTAGAGCAATTAGTTTTAGAAGTGGGGAGCTGGTGCTTCCCGCTAACAGCTCCATGGTCCACCCACCTGCTTTTTGAGTTACACCAGTTAAAAAATCAGTGAGTAGAAGATGGATAGGAGGCAAGACAGCAAGACAGATGACACAGTAGGTATGTGACTGGAGTGTGGCCTGAGCTTGTAAAGGGATGCAGAAAGAGAACACAGAAGGAACTACCTTTTGGATTAATTTGGAATGTGGTTTGCAGGGATCAAAACTATAGTCATTTCTACCTTAGATACTTCTTAGTCATAAACCCACACAGACACTATATCAAATCTCCATACCTCATTATAATGTTTGTTCAATGAATCCAGAATTCCTTCTAGTCCAGAAGGACCCTATATGGAAAAATATGTATCAAAAGGTCATTTTAATTGAACTAAGTTTATGTTTGCATATCTTTATTCTAAGAGCAGTGAGGACGTAAAAGAGTTTATATTTTTGTTTGGTCATACAGTAAATTATTTTCTGTAACTTCATTATATCTTTTTATCAGGCATAGGGGAGGAGGAAAGTCAGCTTCTAAATCTCTGAATTTTGGAAACCAGCAACTTATTTTGAAGTGAATTGGTCTGTCAGAGAAGGCAGTAGTGACATTCATATTGATTTTGATACAAATCCCTTCTGGTATGAGCAACGTCTTTGTTCTGCAGCATTTTAAAACTCTTTCTGCTAAGTCAAAGAATAGGGTCTGATGTAGAAGCAGCTCCTAGTGTGAGTAAACAGGTAAATTTTTAACTTAAGAGTACAGAAGGTGAAATTGAGGAATGTCAGAATTCTCGAGAACACTAACTTCCTAGTTTTATTAGCGCTGCAAGTTTACACTTAAATACAGATCTTTCATCAAGAAATTCAACAGTGAAAAAGGAACTTCCTACTCAAATACAGACTTAGGATGGAGAGATAAAAAAATATGCTTGCAAAAAACCATTTTTGGACATGAAACTCAACATTTTTTGGCATAGTCTGCCAAAAACCAGGCCATCAACGAGATTTTTAAGTTTTGTAGAAGAGAGCAGAACACTGACAGTTCAGTCAAGATCTTATGAATTAAAAGTCAATTAAATTTACAGATTAGCATAGTTACTCTCTTTGAGTTGAAATTTTCATATAATGCAATAAGAACTACAGCCACGCACATGGCTGTAGGAAACATTTGACTTCAATAACAGGATTACAATATACTTAAGTCACTTAGTCTGACAGGGCACAAAAGTAGCTCTCCTTCTCTGGGGCTTTTTATAATCACAATTTACATTCTGCAGCTTTTGTGTTAGTGGGGACATTAGGAAGATTTGGAAGCCACATGAAACATCACAGGTGTCTCACTCCCTCTTTTTTCCCAACATCGGAAGAGATACAAGGCCATAAATTCTTCCATTCATGTTATTTTGAAGTGAATTGTCACTTCGATTTTATGTTAAAAATAAGATAAATATAGTCAAGATGTTTTCACTGAGATGCTCACTCCACTCTGATTTCTGAAGTTAATGGCAGAATTTTTACTTTGATATCCATATTAAAGATGGCAATCCAGAATTGGGACTGAACCATGATGACACTGCTCAGATGTCTCAACTGTAGTCCTGTGGTGTTGAATCCTTGAACCCAGGATCCCTGCAGGATTCTGTAATCCTCCAAGGAGTCAAAAGTAAGAACTTATTCTCCCTTTACATTTGTTACCATGTTCCATGTTGTTTCTTTTACACAAATGAAACTGCTTCTGCCACACAACCCAGGAAGAATTTTAAATCTGTACCTGCCACCAACCTCAACATGTCAGATATTATGTGTACCTAAAATAATTCTTGACGAAATGAAAAGCCATTGTACGTCACAGTTTTGAAAACCAGACATAACCTCGAACATCCCCGTCCCCGAACTGCCTCATGACTAAGACAGTCAAGGAGAACTTCAGGCATTTGGATTGTATTCCTGACTATGCCACAGCTTTTGTATTACCAGAGACAAACAACCTCTGGTTTTAGTATTTATGTTTTCAAAAATTGACATAAATTTAATAATTTTATCTTTCCATCATTCTTTCTATAATAAAACTATAACACCATATTTAAACAAGTGTACAACAGAAAATATTTTTATTCTAGACTTTTTTCCTAAACTGTAGTCTCTTTCTTTCCTTCCGCACTGTTCCACTCCTTTAATATAGTTGCACAATGCACTCTGAAGTCTCTACAGACAAAAACCCCCAAAACAGTAGCATTGGTTTGCAAGTGAAGAAGCAATCAAATTAACAGCAATTGAAAAATTATTGTACAAGCAGTTTCTAGCTTTCGCTTGAGAATTTTGCACATCTGCCACTTTGAAGCTCACTTGAGCAGGATTTCCTTTCTCTTTTTTAATATCAAGTTGTGTAATTGAGAGAAGCGAAGCTCACAGAGAGTACAGTTGTATGAATAAGAAAAGAACTGAAAAAGTGTCCTGATTGTTTTCTGAAATTACAAACAGGTTTCAGATGTTATTTCTACAGACAAGGCAGGAATAGAAACACTGGTGCTTACAGGAAAATAGCTCCAAACTGTGAAATTACAGGGGCTTACAATATATTTCCCTCCCTTTACTTTTATAGTTCATCTGCATTTCTCTATAGATGAGACTGCTGAAAAAGTCTACCCAATCTCACAGTCCATGCAGTAAAATGTGTAACAATTGCACCGGTTGCATCTCAAGAATAGGCCATTTTGGAGAACACAGCCTGCAAGTGACTCAGTGTAATCACTTTGTCCTTTTATTTCACATTGGTGCCTGACCCTTAAAATAAGATACTGTTTTTCTGATTACTATAATGCAAAACATTGTGAAACTCATCAGTGCAGACGTGCAACTCATCAGTGCAGACGTGCAGTATTGTATAACTTTTCCAAGTTATTTCCAAGAGCAAATGGAAAGAATGATGAAGGCATGATGTCTGCCACAATAGCATAGATGAAATAAATTATATTTTGATATGGATATAAAAACTTAATGCATAGAAACAAGCAATATGACCAATCCTTGCCAGCCATTCCCATCCTACCATGTAAGCATTTCCAATACTCTTCTAAAAAGAAGCTGAAAGTCCAGGAAAACCAGAAATGCTACTGACAATTTTCACTTACCATTGCTTTGATTTTCTGCTTATTGTAATTAAATGATAACATTCACTCCCTTTCAAAACATTGGTAGAGGAATGACAGTATTTCCTGAGGCAGAGGAAATGAAATTTCCAAGGCGAACTGCTGGTTAGTTAAGATAACTAATTTTGTGGCAATGACATACGTATTGAATCATGAGACCAAAAGCATATGTAATTAAATGAAGAAATTCAAGTGAAATTTTCTACTGAATCACATGCAACACAAACAAAATGTAACTCTATTTTAATTTAAGACTTTAACACAAAGCTAATCTTCCAAGGAAAAATACTTGAGAAGACAAAATTTATGAAATTCAGCCCCTTGAAAAAGTATGATGAACTGAATGATGAGCTTCAAGGGCTAATAGCAATCATGAAATAAATCTATTAAATCTATTGGTTGAAAACAATAGCTTTGGATGTGTTGGTTTAAGAGAATGAATAATTGTGATTACAGTTTACTAGCCTGTGATTTAGCACACCCAAAATTTCTTTTCCACCTCTGCAACAGATAGCTTTGACAAGATGGCACCAAGCCAAAACAGGTAGTCATCATGTTTCCTACCTTTAAAAACTAGTGCTGATAACACTTCACTTCTGCCAAACAACAACACTGGGCAGAAATCATACTCAGACTCACCTCAAAGAATGGTGTTATACTGGTGGAAGTCTGTAGCACAACTCTAGCTTAGCGCTCTTTTTATTTTAAAAACAAGCTGATGCCCCACTAAAATGGGAGCTCTTGAGAAATGGAATTCCTCCAGTCATAACAGTTCCAGTAGAGACAGAGAAAATTAGGGCAGAGAAGATAAAGTTAGCCCTTAATGGGAAAACAAGTAAAACTCCTTTTTCTGTCCTCTCTCCCATCTATGTAAATAGAAATACCTGCTGATTCATTGAAAAGTAAAAATAAATAAATATAATCCCAACCTCCCCAAAAAATCCAGCTTTAAAACCTCCCACAACTGACCATAATATGTAAAACAGTGCCTAACATCAGGCAGCTATCTTCTACGTAGAACAGAAAAATAAATTATCTCCTCTTAACAAAACTCTACACAAAAGGAGGCAGATAGTAATTCTACAACCCAAGACCAGAAAAGCACTTTGCCTAAATGAAGACTGCAAAATTTGGCCTTTCCACCCTGAGGCTGAGAATGCATAAATACTAAGTTCGAATACATTCCACACGTTACTGTGCAGGTGACTGAGCACTGGAACAGATTGCTCAGAGACGTTGTGGAGTTTCCCTCACTGGAGACATGCAAGAACCATCTGGACTCAATCCTGTGCAAAATGCTCTAAGAACACTCTGCTCGAGCAGGGAGGTTGTGTCACATAACCCACAGTGGTCCCTTCTAATCCTACTCATTCTGTGATTCTGTCATTTGCTTTTAAGTAGTGAGAAAAAAAAGAAAAGAAGTGTGGTAACTGGAGAACCATTATACATAATTCAAAACAAGCTACAGTCTGCTGGGAACCCTTTCTGTGTTTATAAGTCCTGTAGTCTTTTTATTAGAAGCTATGGCAGAAGAGAGTAATCAGCGCAGTTCTGCAATCTGATCAAAATGCTGTACTTAAAACCTCACAGCATCCTATTATTATTTCATTTTGTTTCGTAAAATCAGCATTTCGATTTCAGTGAAGAGTCCTGCTGAGCAGGGTAACAGCACGTGAAAGAGAGAGACTCTTTTTCAGAAGACTCTAGAAGAAAACGGAAGCAAGCAAATATATAAAATACATTTGAAGGGTACAGAGATTTTGATTTCACAATCACAATTTTCACAATGTTTCCGAGACTGAAGCGAACAGTGTATTTGACAGAAGGTTTAAACTGCTACCTAGGCTCTTTCAAAGTGGAGAAAGGGCCAAAAAGCACTAGAGGGAGCTGCTGCTTAACTTAAACCGTCTGGATTTCTGACTTCAGCACAAATTGCTACCTGCTGGAATGAGAGTTATGTGAGCACACATCTCAGCTCTCCTGTACCGAAATAACAGAACAGTACATCAGACAGCAAGGATGCGTACCAGGAATTCTGAAAAGGAAGGGGAATAAAAGAACACTTTAAAAGTCTATAATATTTAATAGACTTTAAACAAATACTCAAAAGGGGAACAGACCTGGGTAGGTTTACAAAAATATTTTTATAACTGATCAATAAAACTCCTCATTGACTCCTTGGCTTTTGTGAGCACAGGATTTGCTCCAAAGGGGAAAAAAATACATAAAAGAAAGGATAAGGGGAAAATGACACAAAAGAAAGGATATCTGGAAGAAATTGCATAGGAAGTCCCATTTTAACTGAGTAGTTTAATTACCAGTTGCCAATCAATCTACATTTCTGACACCAACACAGGTTTTTAACCAAAGATGTGCAGATGATGTTAAGGGACTAGAAATTCACTACAAGCACCAATTTTACTGAAAAAAAAATCCCCAGCAATTAGGTTAGGAAAAAAAAAGAAAAAAGATGAGATACTTAGAAAAGGTTAGAAAAGTCTTCAATTCTGCCATGCGACAAGTAGATCTTTGACTGTTAGAATGTGTCCTTATAACGCTGTCATGTGAAAGCACAGCATGTATGCTGACTGCAATTTTTGTAACTTTCAGTTTTCTTTAATTTTACTACCAATCTTTTCCACACAAATCCCTATCTGCATACACTGTTATTAGGACTGTCCTTTAAAATAAATCCCCTGAGTATTGTATCCTGTCTGCCAACTTCTTCCTGAAAGAGGCAAAACTTTCCTTCTCACAGGTTTTGGTTTTCTTTTTTTTTTTGTTTTTTTTGTTTTGGTCATTACTAAGCACCTGGATGTTTTAATATCTAAATTAAATATTTAACATCATGGCATAAACTGATAAATAAATTAGGTAAATTTATTAATTTCAAGCACACAGTGTATGCTTTAGCTACCCTGATAATTAATGACTGAATCTCCTTTTTCTCAAATACAAATTTCATATGCTTTTGAAGCATCAACCAAACCCCAAACTTGCTTATCCTGGAGAGTCTAATTTTCAAATGTTCAGTCAATCTGTTAACCATTTTGTATCCTGTGTATGCCAAACTTATGACAACCAGCATCCTGCAGGTATGACAGTTCTGCTGCGCTTTGGAAAGGCCAAAGTAAAGGCACATCCATGTGCATAAAGAAGTTGTTTACTATTAGCAGAAAAGGGGTAAAGGGAAGCACAATATAGTACAATTTAATATGGTTTGAGCCTTCAAGAAGAGAGGGGGAATGATGGATTGTGTTGAAGGTTTTTTCGGTATGTACAAGCTGTGGCACTTCAAACATGGCAATACTGCCAATGCACATTAGTGGGCATTCCTGCTTTTAGAGTATGCCTTTTCTTTGCTCTGCATTCTCAGTCTTGGAAGAAGAACTCAAGATGATGATATAGGTGTACCCAAAGCAAGGAGTGCATCAAGATAGTTATACCAGAAACAAGTACTTTTAACCAATATTTAGGCCATGACTGCTCGAGGAATGCTTTTCTGGTGCGTAGTAGTAGGCTACAGTACTCATACGGAGTTCCTTGTATGGATGTTGCCATGCTGACAAAGTTGAGTTTTCTATTTGCTGTAAGAAAATCTGAAATATATCTCAGTTATAGAAGCGCAATTTAGCTTACACTCAAGATTTCTAGTATATCTGTCAAGGATCATAAATCTTCACAAGCCTGACCTGCCAGCAAATCTATGATGGCAGAAATCTGTAATGGAGAAAAACTTTTTCACCAGCTCATGAGAAGCTAAGTAGATTAGGTTTAACATTGACCTCTGCTATGGTTTACTTTTTTATCCTTTAAAGGTTATTTTTGGCATTTGTATTAAGAAAGATTCTGCATCACTCCTTTTCTCCTGTTTGGCCTCCTGCAGTCTGCAGGAACATTTCAGCATTCTGAAGTCCAAACTGTGCAAGAGACTAATTTTTATCTATGTAGTTTTATGCAGGATAAATGAATTTCATCATCAACTCCTCATTCTGAACACATTTTGCAAGGAAAGAGTATTTATAAAATGTATGCACTTTTTGTTTTAGATGAGGCTGGATGAAACCTATTTTATTTTAGTCATTGCGTCTCACACAGCAGTGCATTATTCTCTTCTCTAGAAATAAGATGAGGTTGAAGCGTATGAATCAAATGTTCAGATGCATAAACTACTAGCCTTTACCTATTTTAGGTAAGTAGAAGAAGGAATTATGAAATCTTTGTTTTATATTAAGAATGTAAAGCAGCAGAAGTTTAATCCATGAACAGCTGTTTTGTATTTGTGTATAACAGCATTTTTACAATACAATATACAGGGAATTTTATTAATATGACCAAATCTTCCTCCAGCCAAGGAGAGCTGCATTTATTGAAGACTAGTATACATCCACGCATGACTTGAATTTTAAATCATTTATCTTTAAAAAAAAGTAAAGGAGAAAAATAAAATCCCAAACCTCTTAGATCTGAGCTGAACCTTTAAGTTCTTCATACTGCAAATCCTTTAATAGAGCCATGTATTTCTTAATCTTTTTAATTCTTCAGTCAACTCATTTGAACTACAGCTGAGTGCTCATTCCAACGCTGGGTATAATCCTCCCCACCATTCAGACAATTGGCACATGCTTCACACAGTCCTTCATCTTTCAAATTACCCCTCTGAGACAGAAATTATCCCTTCTTCTACAGAGCATCACACATTTTGCTAAGAAAATGAATGCACAGTATTCATATTTAGCATATATGGCCAGTCTTTCTTTGAAACGTCAATTTCTGCTTCCCCTGCTGAAGTTTGCATCTTGTTCTTTTTCCTCCTGGGTAGTCCCTTATATTTGTGGACCCAGTCCTTTTATACTTGCTGTATCAAAAGGCTAGCAATAGTAGCTGTTTGATAGATAGAGCAGAGTACACATAGATCAATTATTTTCAATTATAGTTATATTCAGGAACCTGCTACAAAAATGCTAACAAAGTCTGAGGACAGAGTGAAAATTTCCCATTCCTCTCACTAGTTACTCACAGGAGGTCCTGGTGGCCCCGGTTTTCCTGGGAGACCTGGTTTGCCTCGTCTTCCCTAGAAATAAAAAATTAGAACAGACATTTATAAATATTGTGGCTAGGGACTGATCCGGAAGAAGAATGTTAAGAAAACATTTGTTGCCTTGCCTTGCTTATGAAAAAACCATAAAAATCAAAACTCATCCAAAATGAATACTCTGTATCAGTCACTGCTTCTAGGATTGCTTTTAATAGTTATGACAAACTATTTGCATCCCTGTAACATCTACTGTCACATTTTAAAACTTTGTCTCAAATATGAGTACACATTGGCAAGGATATTAACAAAGCACCTTGATGAGGTGTGAAGAAATTATATTTTGTCTGAATATACCAGAGCTTGGAATGTTACACTGTGCTCCAGCAGTCTGACTTGCACAGTAAGTACGTATGTGCAATATTGTCGCGGTCCGAAGAGGGGATGGGACACGAGGAAGGATGCAAGCAGAGTTCTCTATTCAGGCGTGCCCACTCTCTTTTTTATCTGCTTGGGAGTGGAACGGGCCAGAACACAGGGCGCAGCAGTAGACCAACAAGCAGAGGGACAAACCAGCATAGGGACACCAGCAAAAGGGGGAGGAGTGGGGGCAAACCCACGGCAAGCCTGGGCTTGTCCAGGCTGTGCACTGTGCAGTGTGAATACAATGAAACCACATAATAACAGCGAAGTCCACACGACAAAGTCCTGCCAATCGCTGCACGCTTCTCTCCACGCCCGGAAATGTTCCATCCTGAATCATGTTCCCTCACACAATATAACCTAATTAAGAAACACCCATATCCTTCTTCCCTGGGATGTGATAACAAGCACACAAGTCAGAGATTTATTTGCAAAAACAATTCACCTTCTTTGTGCAATTACTACCATCTGTGTATATATAATGCACATGCAAATCATTTGCACTAAAAAGTAAGGTTCATAAAAGTCTACTTAAGGGAGACTTTCCACTAAGATTCTAAAAAAAACATGCTTATGTAACTACTATAATTTTTTAGTACAGAGCTTACTTGAACAACTGCTGTTTTCACATGTGCTTTTTTTTAGGAAGATCAACATAAAAATGGAAGTAATTTACAGGAATTTACATCTTTATTGCCAAGCCGAAATCTGATGCACATTTTTAGTAGCAACAGGTGAGAATAACTAATATCTAGGTGTGATGGCTAAGAAAAGAAAGAAGCATTATATCTATTAAGACTAAATTTTTCCCTTGTATATGGCAAGTGTAAATTAATGTAAAGCTCTAGGGGGTTGTTCTGGTGAAAACTTGGCTTAAAAAGTGAAAAAATTAAAATGCTTGCTGACAGTTCACAATTTACACATAGGGGTATTTCTGTAAGCTGTGGTCCCTATTTCTAAGCCTGCTTCTGTATTTTATTAAATTATGATCTCGCACAAACTGCAGAAGTAATCTCAGGAACAGAAAGTAAAATCCAGTTTCACTTTTTGCAGGTGAGATCCCTGATCTGTAAGAAACCACTCTCATGCTCTGCCTTTCATTAATCTTGATGCTAAGGGGAACAAGATGACGACAGTAAGAGTGGAAAACTGTTGAAGGTGCCCCAAGAGAATCCTATGAGTGGTGGAGGAAACTTAGTGAAGAGAGATCAGAAGAAGAGGATGAAAATATATCGGAGTGTACTTACGCTGTAATGCGCTGAATGTGACTATCATGACTACAAGAGTGTCTGTTCCCCAGTGTCTTTACTCAGTTGTGTAATTGTTTTATTGTTAGCATAATATGCCTTATTATAAGGTGTACAATTCCCTTCACTGTACCCCTGTTACCCTTTCTCCTATTGGTTCTGTCTAAGCCCTTTCCTTATTCGTTCTACCCTGCTTCACCAGTTCTCCCCAGAGACAGTTTCCCATTTGTTCATGTTTAAACAGTTCCACCCCTTGTTGCTGCGATTGTCCACTCCTTTAATACTCCTCCCAATCTCCACCCTTCTTTCCAGAAAGGTCCCTGCTCTCCCTTTATAAGCCGGCGTCCATGTTTAATAAAGGCCTATTTTGTGTCACACTGTGACTGCATGCAGAGTGATCCTTCTGGGTCTTGCACAAGGGGGGGTTATGGCTCTCCCCCTGTCAGAAAACCCTGTCTTCCTCACACCTGCAGGTCACCAGGGTAACCTCTTGCCTAGAAGCCAGGGACTCTCCTGAGAGAGGTAGGAATTTGAAGCCCTTCAAGTTGAAGAATGAACAAATTGTGCCACATAGCATGTACGCTACCACCACGGTTTTATAAAGGTCCTCCGTCAGTCAGTGTGTTTTAAGGGCAGTGTGAAAAAAAAAATACCTCAGCATATTTGGAGTGCCAAATTCCTGGGTCTTAACTAGCTGAGACATACATTATGTGCTGAGCTGTTTAGTCTCACCAGTACTTGCACATGCAGGGGTTTAACTGGGGCAGCTCAGGATAAATTTTTAGAACCAAAATACAGTAGTAGGTGCGTAAACTGGGATTATGGCTATACTGCCCTTATTACGCACCCCCAGCATGTCCTCTGCTGTGCTGCTAACACAGTCCATACAGCCCTGGGAAAAGCCAGAGATGGAAACTCATCTGGGCTAAGGATGGCCTACAAAAAAAGCGGAGTACTCTTTGACTTTGGTCAGTTGACTGATGCAGTTCACTGAGCAACTGAAGACCTTGTCTGGCCTGACAGAAGGCACAGTGCCAGGAAAGACACACATGCACAAGGAAAGGGGGCTGTAGTTAGCTAGATCTGTACTTTTGGACTGATATCTACTACAGAAATACATTTGGAAATTAATATTCCCTGACTTTCTTTAAAAAAACTCACTAAACTTCCCTTAGAAAGTATGAAAAACAGACTGAGAGGTAACAATGTAAGGAATAAACAAAGATAAATTGCTCCTTACTTTTAAAATAGTTCCTCTGAGTTATAATGATCTACAGTGTTGACTTCTTGAAGCACCTTCCTTTTCCTGTTTGGACTTCTTTAAAGTATCCTGAGGATGACACTTAAAATCTCAGCAGTCTAAACAAAGTATCAAGGAAGTGTCAGGAAGAAGAAGACAGGGCTTTGACTGGCAGACACAACTGTGAACGAGGTGTTAATTACACAGGAAAACATGGAATATGTTGGGAAGGCAATTTTATCTCTGTTTACAAGATGAGCTAAAATTTGATTTATGACATAGCAAAGACAAAACTCGGTGAACTTTCTGAAAAATCAGATATAAAAAAAAATAAAAATTGTGGGTAGTTTTTTTTTCACTGTCATTTTTTAATTAGTAGAACACCTACCCAATGAAACACAGAAGAAACACTTGCCCAACCTTTTATCTAATCATTATTAGTCATTATGCTATGTTCCATGTAAAGCAACAACAGGGATCAGTATGAAGCATAAACTTTTTCTAGAGTAATAGAAGTCCTTTTTTTTTTTTCTCCAAGCACCTTTATAAACTGATATTTTAATTTTAACACGGAAATGCGTAACAAACCACTACCTTCCATCAATGCCTTTCAGATAGATACGGAGACTTTAGTCTTAGGAATACACAAAGCTCTACCTACTTGTCAGCATTCCTTCTCTATGACTTCTCAGCATCAGCATGGAATAGATAGAATTTATACTACAGTAAGTGTAAGTAGAGAAAATCAGTTTATATTTTTGTTCAGGATAATTAAAACAATTAGAAGAATGTTTTGACAAGCCAAATATGATCTTGCCTTGAGCAGGCCATGAGCCAGGCTGTGACTAAATATTTACAATTTGATTTTGAGTCATCCTTCTGGCAAGAAAGAAGTGAAAAACATCTCAATGTCCTCTCCAGTTTGTAGAGCAGGCTTAGCAGAGAGCCACAGTTCCCATCTCCTGCTCGGCAGCAGGTCTTGGCAGCCCCATAACAGCCGTACTTACTGCCATCCTGCTGTGCATAGGGCTGATAGCCAGCACAGGAGGCCCTTTACCTTTATTTAGTTGAGTTCACTGAGCAAATATTGAGGTTATAAACCCACTCAAAATATAAGTAAAAGCCCTAGGCATCACATTCTTCCTTTAACTAAATAAAAAATGCAATACCACCTACACTAACTTAAAAAGGATACGTAGTGTCAAAGTTATCTAATGCTACTGAGCATATCTGAAGAAGACCTAAACAGTTGCTGGTTATTTCCCTTGTGCTGCATATATTTTTTGATGGCAATTAATGTGATAGGAAGTTTTCTACATGTTACTGATATTGTATCCTATCCCCTTGACTCATCAAGAGCCTGCCCCCAACTAATCTGGACAGTTGGCTACTTTCCTCTTTTCCATGGGACAGACTTCAGCTAAGATACACACACAAATCATGCAAATAACAACTGCTTGGTTAGGGGCAAACAAAGACAAAATACTACAAATAAAATAAATGAGAAATTTTGTGCTTCAGGAAACCCAGCTGAGTGCCCAGCTGAAGTACATGGTCAGCTGCATTCTTTATTTCTCTCTTCCTTTGCCCCTTCTATGAATTGAAATTACTTGATGAGCTTTGCTTTACGTAAGAAGAAAAGCTGTTTAGAAGAGGAGATCTGTCCATCCTTCCATGGGCTTGTGCTCTGATTCTGACTGCTGGCCCTGGGAATTGCTGCAGGTCCAATGTACAGTGCAAGAATTCAAAGCCTATTTTGTAACCCCCTGCTGTATCATATTGCATCCATCTATTTGCATATATCTAACTTTAGAAGAGTAAAATATCTAATCCTAGTGTTTAAAAAAAGGTATGGATTATTTAAGAATAAAATTGAGTAGAGTTATGTAGGAATACTGACATTATTTATGGAATTAATAATTTAAAGAACACTCATACTTGAATACAAAGGCAGAAGTTCTTAGAATAAGCCCGTGTGCATTTTCAAGAGAAACTGCTAATTAATGGTTCTTGAAACACATCACATTTCAAAACAGGAACTAGTTCTAGGGAATGTAGAAATCTGGGCTTTAAAGTCTTATCTACTACAGTTGTTATGCAAGATTAATGAGGCTTATGTAGTTCATTTG